CAAATTCAATAGTATTATTATTTATTTTTATATTTATTAATTTAATATATTTATTTATTTTTATATTGATTTATTTAAAAAAATATTTAAAAACTGTTACAATTTTTACAAGATAAAAAACGGTTTATATTGTAAATTATTTTTATTGCAGAAATAATATTTAGTAAATGACAGTTTGAAAATTATAATTATTGAATGTTTTAAGAGGAAAACTTTAAAGAGAAGCATTTAACGTTCAACGAAAATAATCTCGAGCACTGATGTTTATTACACGTTCGTAACACGTGTATGTCAACAACCCCTTTAGATGCCACGGAAAATTAGAAAAAGAAAATAAAAATTGAGATGATTTTTTATGAACATAAAAAAAGAAGAAAAAGTTTTCTCACCGCATTTGTTGAATCAAGAAAATAATTTAAGTTTACAAAGTATTGGAAAAAAAAATTCTTGAAACTTATAACAAAAATATTTATTTATTAATTAATAATAACTATATTAATAAATTAATAGTTATTAATTTTATATAATATTATAAAATTCTTTTTAAATTTAAATTATTTTCTTTATTTAACAAAACAGTTAAGTGATAAATTTTCTTTCTTCTTTTTTTTTATTTTTTTTGAAGGGAAAAATATTAAATAAAAAATATGTCTTCAAAAAGAAATAATTTTCATTTAAAAAAAATTGCCATTTCTTATGTCCTGTTTTTCAATGAACACTCATATTTGCTTTCAATAGGTAACATCTGGCACAGTGGGTATAAGAAAGTTTTTAAACTTGTAAACCGTTTGAGCTGCCCAAAAAAGTTTCCTCGATTTTTCAACACCAGTTTTAAAAACACTTTCTAAGCAAAACTTTTTTTTTTTGTTGTTGTTAAAAGGGTTCTTTCTTAACTATTATCCTTGATTTTATTGCAAATATAATGACAATTATTATTTGTTGTAGTTAATTATTTTTATTATCATCATTATTATTATTATTATTATTGTCTAATTTTCTCGTTTTTGGCAAAATTCGAAATGACATTTCAAAGTATAATTCATTATCTTAGTTTCACTTCCTTTAAAACTGCAGAAAGATCAGCTTCTTTGGAACTGTTGGAAGCGTTCCAATTATCGAAATTAATCATTCAATGTGAGGTTTACAAAAAGAAAGAAAAAATTCACTATTTTACGGTTTGGAATCTCGTTAAATTTACAACTATATATAGAAGATAAAATATCGTCCATTGCGAAGCGATTAATCTAACTAACCCACAAGTGAATTATCAGAGAAAATGTCCACAATTCATTGATTTTTTTTACATATAAAGAAAGAAAAATGAAGTCTACATTTGGAATCAATTTCACGAAAACATACCAAAAAAAGAAAAAGAGGAAATTTCCATATATTTCAACTTTAAAAAATTATATAATTTCTTTTCGATAAAAAATAATCTTGGCAATACCACGAAACTCGTTTACATAAAAATGCAACAATTATATATGATTTTCACCTGAATAAGTTTTTTTCAAATAAAAAGAAAACATTTTCCAAAGAAACTATTTTTCCCAAGAAATATGAAAGTAGAAAAAATTCTTCGTCTCCAAGTTCTTATGTCACGCGAAACTTAATCTCTCCAATTCATTTAAAAGTGCATTTGTTTCCGTGACCAAAATCATAATAATAACAATTCCCTGTACAATCACATATTTATATAAACAAGATTCTTGAAATATAAATTATTCCATTTTTGCAATTTCCAAATATTAATCTCGCCATTTCTTCAACATTATATCCATATCAATGAGAAAATGGAAAAAAATTAATAATTTCTGATTCAAATATAATAGTCGCGCATATATAAACGAATAAGCCATCGTTTGAGAATATAAAGTCAAGATTGAAATATATTTAATCACAATGAATTCTTAAAAAGCGCTTTTTGACAAAAAGAATTCTTTACATATATGCGAATCTTTTAGAAAACGAATTTCTCAGATAAAAAATTTACCTTTTATGTACACACGTATATATATATATGAAATGTACGTTTATATTGTTAGAAATAAGGAGAAAATATAGAAGTCGATAAATCGATAAAGCAGTATGTATCAGTATAATAAACAATAATATATGACTCACTCACGCCCACATAAGATTTTATTCTCTCTATCCCTATTAGGAACAAAAGCTACTTGACCCTCGAATCAAATGTGAATAACAAAATGACCTAATTTTTTCCAAATTCTAAACAAAAATTTGCAAACATTTTTTTTTTTTTGTTTTAGAAAAACTATTAATTTTTCTTTATGAATAAATTTTTTCTAATTTTTAAATTAAATATATCACAATTCCTCAGAAGTATTTAGTCTATACGATATTAGTATACAAGAAACTTTGTAATACAGAAGAAGTAATTCCTATAATGCATCTTGGAAGTATAAACTTCTGTCCATTATAAAGCTTATATATCCAAACAAAAGAGAATAGCCTTTATATGAAGTATAAATAAACCCTCACATATGTAATCTTGGACCACATTGCTTTTATACAACTTAAATATGGGTTGTTAACTTTAAATATAGAACGATTAAACTATTACGTGATTTTAAAAAAATATCAAGAGAAATTAAGTTAATTATATATTTTTATAGAAATTTGAAAAAAAAACAGTAATAAAATCTTAAAATCGAAAAGTTTAGAATGAAAAGTAACATTGTATAAAAAAAAGCAATTTGTGGTCCATAAAATTCACATGGCTAAACACTCTGAGCGACTATCTTTTTTAGAACACAACCCTAACGCGACCCACACGATTTGTCTTTATAGAAGGTCTGCGATTTTATTATTTTTTTTTTCCTGTCTTATTTTCAAAAATCTCTTCCATTGAAATGATATATATTCCATCAAAATGGCATCACAGTACAAGTAGATAAATATAGAGACAAGATTTTCCAAGCGACCTGAGCTATTTTAGTCAACCTCCGGCATTTATGAAATCACGCCATCATGAGAAGTGCACTTTATGTTGGAAATTTTTTAATTTTTTATTCCGACTATTAAAAAATGAAAAAAAAAACGCAGACAATTCAAGTTGAATATATTGAAAACATTAATTTTATCTCTAAAGTGCTTTCGCGTAATGCTTATAAAAAGATATTAATGTTTTCATAATTAAAACACAGTCTGCGACACTCAATGCGCTAGATTCTATATAGACAATATTTTATCAATAATTAACTATAATAGTATTTACAGCGATTTAAATGTGTTCATATGTATCACCTAAATTTCATTTAATTGAAATGTCAAACCATTTAGTTGAAAATTATTTTATATAAATTTTCAGATACTTAACGTCCCACTACACTGCGCCAAATAGATGTTTTTATAGATGGGGGAAACACTGACAAAAAAACAACACTGAGTTTCTTTTTAAGAATAATGTTTGAGTTCCACAATTTGAAAGAATTTTTTATACAAGCAACAAAACGTATTAGTTTCGAGAAAATAAACAATAATTTACGAAAAAAAAAATGTTAATTAAAATATTTATATTTGTTGTCATTAAAATTTAATCGTAAAATATTAATCATGTCTCCTGAATAAAAATATATTTTTCAATTCAATAAAAAGATAGTGAAAAAAACTATTGAAATAGTTTCAATTAAAACGAAAAATGAACATAAAATATAGATAACACTGTCTTTCCTCATAGGTGAATAGCTCATATGCCATAACCATTAAGAGCTCTCAGTTTCTGATTAAAATTTAATTGAAATTTTAAGCTTTATTTTATAGAATGAAACGTCTTCTTCCTGAGAAATTACGTCACTTAATTTGTCTAAGTAGGGATATTTCAGATTTTTATATTTTTTAACTACGATGTCAAAAAAAAAAATAATAATTTGCAACTTAAAATAAGATTTTCTTTTTAGAGATCAATTTTTTTAAATAAAGAAAAAGTCTTATATAATTTTAATTTTATTTGAAAACACTGCGAAAAAAATTATTTTAGTTACTTCATTATTATTATCAAATAAAATTATATGAATCAAACATTATTTGTTTCAAATACAGAAAAAATTGATTTCAAGTGAAATTTATTTGATTCATAATAAGTAATGATTTAAATCAAGTATAATTTTTTTCCAATAAAAAAAGTGTTATCACTATTTATCTCCCTATTGAATTAAAATATTTTAAAAATTGAGAATGTATATTCCTAAGATTTTTTCTTGATACCTTATTAAATTATATTTTACCAATAAATGAAAAAGTTATTGCTAAATATTTAATTTTGTAACCTATTTAAAATTAATTACTATATAAGACATAAGTGTGACAATTAATTTTCTAACAATTCAATTTTCGTGATTTTGCGTAAAATTATCATAAAGTTGTGATAACTTTTTTTTAAAAACTTGGTTAAGTAAAAAATGTATAAAACATGCAATAGATATATATGCATAGAGATTTTCATATCTTGTGATCGAGAATTGTGCGGAAAGTTTATTGTAAGTAAAAAGAGCGTGAGTGCTTTTTGGCCATTTTACGAAAATGTGCTTTCGCCACTGCCGTTCGTGGAATATATCGTATATATATATATATATATATATAAAAGGAATAGGGGTAGGTATTTGCCGTACACTTCAAGATAAAAGTTACATGAAGCGCCCCTTTCCTTTCTTATAACCATACAATCCTAGTTCACGTGATTAAACTACTTCTTGGATTACAGCCAAGAAAATAGCATAAACTTTGATCCTTTACGACATATATAATTACAACACTAAAATTGGATTTTTATAATACATATTTCCTATCTTAAAAAATCAGAAAATATTTTACAAAAATTATTTTTAATATATTTAATTAAAAATATAAGTAGAATTCAATTTTTTTAAAAATAAATATATTTCAAAAATTATTGTTCAACATACAAAATTTATTTTGTTTATAAATTAATAAAAAAAAAATTAATTATATAATAAATTAATAATAAATAATGCACTTACACATGGATTCTCCGAGTGGCCAAACATTTGGTCCTGAATTGACTTCCACAAGGACAGTAGGCGTGCAAAATAATAATACGCACAAATCAGCTACACTTAAGTTCACCAGAAAAAAGTTCGTGCTGTTTCTCATGTCTTTCCCTCGTAATACAACCAACGGCACCTAAAATTTTTTTTTTTTTTTTTTACAAAATTAATTTAATTCTATATTTAATCAATTGATTGTATTATATTGTTATACTTTAGAATTTTATTTAATATAGAAAAATTAATAAATAATATTAAGTACTGTAAAAAGAAAAATTTATTTTAGGTGGAGAAATGATTCTTATTTTAAAACTAAAAATTTAATTTCATTATCTTAAAAATAAATTTTTCTTCTTACTGTGCAAATAAATTAACTATATTTATAATAAATTCTATATATAAAAAAATATATACAATATTTATATCATGTAATTTGTATATAATTCATATTTTATATGAATCAAATACATTTGAGTAATGAAGAAAAACGTACCATAAGATTACCTATAATCCCTAACGCCATAACCATAATGCACACCACCATAGATGTTGTCCTGATATATGTCGGTAACATATAAGGAAGGAATGTTCCATTTTCAGGTTCCGGTATTGAAACTAAAAAGAAAATTGACACGCACATTTTTCTGTTTGTTGTAAAATATTATTTGCGTAAAAAATAAATAATAATTTTATCATTAATTTTATTTTTCCTTTACATATTTAAATAATATGAAAAATATTTTTAATTTAATTAATTTATAATAACAATAATTACATTTTTAATGTTTTGTAGATAATTATAACAATAATTTATCATCATGATGGTGTAATATTTCCCTTCATGGTTATCTACTTTTTGGCAATTATTACCCACTTTTTGACTCGTATATAATTATATCTCCGTTACTTGAATAACATGTTACAGAAATATTATAATACACACAATCAATTTAATACTGAATTTAGAAATTATTTACAACAAATTAAAAATAAAGTAAATTACATGTAAGAAAAATCATGTTACATCATTAAAATTAATATAAGAAAAAATATTTTTCAAAGTAACAAAATTAAAATATTAAAAAATCATGTTACATCATTAAAATATTTTACAAAGTAAAAAATATATCGAGTCAAATTTATACTAAAAAAGGAAACGAAAAAACGAAAAAATTAAAAAAAATTTTTTTTTTTAAATTTAAGATAACGATAAAAAAATACTAAAATTAAAAAAAAAAAGAAAAATTATTTTTATAATATATAAATATAAAATTTCCTACCTGAAAATCCATCAAGTGTACTGCTCCCCATGGCGGTGGTATAAAACGAACTGTTTTGTTCGAATGCCATGGACGCCATGGTGGAAAACATTTTCAAAGTAACATCGATAAAACAATCACAATATTTTTCTTCAGTGTTCTAAACAAGCACTGATATTCTCGTTCTTTTTTTTTTTTTTCTCTTAAGTTTTGTCCATTTCATCGGGAGACCCGATTGTTTGAAATCCAATTTTACTCATTTGATCTAAATTGATCGTTACGGTATATGGAAAACTTTCATTTATTTAAAATCCTTTCTTTTTTTTCTATTTTTCAATGCAGATGGAATGCAAAAAAAGATTTCCTAAATTTCCCATATTTTTCATATTAAAACAAAATGTAAACACATGCACACAACACATACACACACTAAAACTGGTAAATTTATACTACTCATTGTTACACTCAATCTCCATTATAATCAATTGTCACTGCACTCATTCGTTTTTTATCATCGAACTTTGACGTTTGTATCAATCTTTTAAACATTTTAAAAAACTTTTCCGTTAAGAAATATTGTTTTTTTGACAGTTTATTATTATCCCTCGTACGGAGAAAATGCATTTCTGAAATGTCAAATTTTTTATTATAATAAAAAAAAGGTCGTTTGATTTTGAAATTTTAAAACTTCAGTTTGAATAGTAGACATAAACATATAATATGAAAATCGCGACGATGTTCAGTGAACGGGATGCGAGGATAAACTGAAAATCTGTCGGCGAAAACGTAGGGTGAGTCACCTATCTTGTCGGTATGTGTACCTTATGGATAATCTTTTTTTTTCTTCATTTTATATATATATATGTATATATATATATATATATATATATATACACTAGTTCAATTGTCATTTCTCTTTTTTTTTAAACAAGAAAAAAAATAACACGTGTTTCATCATGACTCACATTTTGCATCGGCATTTCATAAAGAAGTAGGCATTTCACTTTTTTCTTCGTGTCATTTATTATATCCGATCCATTAAAGAATTGAAAAATGAAGTTGCCAAAGAACTTTGGAAAGAATATAAACCAAAACGAATCGAAAAGTGGACTTTTATGTATATATGCAAAAATAAAAAAAAAGTAAAAAAAAAAATAATTTTTAAACAATTAAACAGAAAACCTGAATATTTAATTCAATTTTATTTTATATGGAGAAAATCTGTAGAAAATAAATTGTGAAATAAATTAATAGTTTTTTAAAATAAAAACTTTTAACCCTTTTCTTCTCCTGAATAGGTATATAAGTATAAAAAATATTTGCAACCTCATGCAGAGAAAAGGATGCCCAATAACTGATCCCACGCAAATCTTGGACTAAATTGTATTCAAGGATATATATTATGTTTTGCTATATTCATCCGTAAAAGTCTTAATTTATAATTCTCTTTTTAAAACTATAAGTTTCAATAATAAATAAATAATTTTCCATTATCTGGAATATTTTTTCAATTTAAAAAAAATCAGATTCAAACAATTTACAGATTATAGTTAAAAAAACAAAATATAAATTGAACTTTTTTATATATACACACAGAATCCATATGACGTTAAGAGATTTTTTTTTTCAAGTAAAAAAAAAAGTTCACAAATAGAAGGTTAAAATTTAGATTCAATTTGTCGGTATTGGAAACCAATATCCATAAAATTGCAGACAGAAGTGAGGTCCCACAAAACCATGGGACATAAGAGAAGTTTGAAACAAGGGTGAAGAAAAAACTCTCCTGAGATTGAAATTGACGTGGATTAATGCATAAGCTTTAAAGTGTCGTTATATCGTTCACTTTCCATTGTATATAATAGAATGATGATTTTCCTATTTCCATAAATAAAATCGCAATAATAGCCGCGCAATACGTTCAGGACATTCAATAAATCTTGAAGGACAAGAATTTACTGTTTATATATTTGAATGAATTTTGTAATATTGTTCGATTCAATTATAAAACTAGTATTTCTTCAATAATTAATTATTGTAAACGATTGAAAATAATGATGAGAAATTATGTAATCTATATAATACAAAATAACAATTTACAAGGTTCCCTGAAGGTTTGTAAAGTTCAAGGTAATCAAAATTAATTAATTAAAATTAACAAATTCATGAATATAATATCAAATTAATTAATACAATGACAAATACATAATTAGTATTATTTATTGTGATTTATGTTAATTGTCTTAATAAATTTTAATTAATTTATTACAAATTATTATTATTATATTACAAAAATTATATAACTTCAAACTATATCAAATTGTTATTCAGGTTTGCAGTTTAATGACAGATATAATAAATGACGATATTAATTTCTTGATTCTTGAAAAAAAAAAATTACCTTTCATTCGCGAATGCAATTATTTGAACTTGTATCACCTAAAGTAGGGCTCACCTTGTCACTTTCTATTAACACCAATTAACCCCTCAAGGCATTGATGCCAATATCAGTTATCGTCTTTATTCTTCATTAAAAAATAATAAAAAAAACAGCACTGTTTTTCTTTTGTTACATTAATCAAATATATAATTAAAACCAAATTTAAAATTTATTTTTCTTTCCCTTTTTTATGTTTAACAACCGTAATATTTACTTTAAATTAATTAACACCAACGACTCGTGTTATATGGCGATCAATTAATTTACAACTATCAGAAATTTAATTTTTAAAACATCAATGATATCAAGTTCAAATTGTCTGAAACACGTGCATGTTTTTCATATATCATAAAAATAAATAAAATAAGATTTCAAAATTAATTATTTAGCTCAGACTGTCAAAAAAAAAAAAAAATTAATTTTTTGTAATCTTGGAGTACAAATTTTTTACAGACAAGAGAATTATTTTTTGATTCATATAAGAAAGTTTATAAAACGAAACATTGTTATAAGAAACATTTATTTATTTTATTTATATCATATTGTTTTAGTTTTTTTTTTTTTACTCAAAAATTTTGTTGTGTCAACAATGGAAAATTTGGAATAAAGATAATTTAAAATATAAAAAATATTTTCAAAACTTCCTGTAGAAATTCCGCAATAAAAGAAATATTTTCATTATTTTTCTTTTCTATGTTTAACATTAGAGAAAATTTCTTTCTATTGAATGTATCTTTCCGAAGAAAATTTTCCTTATCATAATAAAATTCATTTCCCATTCATAGTATTATATATGGAAAAAATAAATGTATCTTATAACAATCAAAATATTAGCATATGAAAGGAATAAAATTCAATCGTACGTTTATATAGAAATCAAACTTTCAATACAATATCATTCACGCCTATTTCCTGCTTATCAGAAAAAAAAGAAATGCAAAGAGATGAAGTTACGAGGTTTAATGTTCACTTTCACATCTTGAGACGCGCCGGTACTCTTCGATCACCTTTTAGGGGATCATGGAACGATTCTCAGTACCTTATAAACTCTCTTTACTTCTTTTTTTTCTCTCTTTCATTCTCTCTCTCTTTTTTTCTTTAATTTACCAGTTGATGTCATCATCATTTAACAAAGCTATACAAATTCGCCACAATTCATAGATATATATGTATACAGATTATGCAATGGAGTTCTTTTTATTTTGCTTTAAAAAATAAATTCAAGCATAAAAAAAAAGAAAAACTAAACGTGAATTTTTAATTAACAAAACAAATTAGAGGGTCTCTCTTTTGCTACTCATATTTATAAAAAGTGCGAGATTCTTTTTTGTATGTGTGTAAAAGAAAAGTATGTCAGATGAAAAAAATGTGTGTGAGAATTTTTCGCGCAAATAATTTGGACGCACGTGATAACTGTCAGTCATGCTTGCGGTTTTCGTATGGGTGACCATACGTAACCACTCCAAAGAGGAAGTTGCTCCGAAGCGCGCGGATCGTGACGGTACACTGTTTTTAATGTTGGAAGCTACTGCCCGCCAACTTAACTTGAAAACGTTTGTTTCATAACGCATGCGCGATATACTTTTGTTATTCGCACCACCACTTTTGCATATGAAAATACCCCCAAAAATTAAAAAAAAATGACAAAATGTAAATACACTGACAAAAAATTTATTCAATTCAAATAATCGGTTATTTAACTATCAAATAAATATTTACTTGAACCAAATAATTTTTATTTGAATTAAATATATTGTATTGAACCAATAATAATAATTGTTATTAATAATAGTAAACAAAAAAACCGATTATTTGAATCAAATAAATTTTTTTAGTGTTGTTTTTTTCGAAGTCTGGTTTAAAATGTCACCTTTTTGTCTCATATTGTATACTCTCTAAATCTGAATTAGTAAAAATGTTTACTAATTTAAATTCGTGACTCACTTTTTGTTTTAGAATTAGTTAAATTTTACTAATTGTTAGTAAAAGTTACTAATAATTAGTAAAATTTTACTAATTGAGAAGCAAAAAGTGAGTCACTAATTCAAATTAGTAAACTTTTTTACTAATTCAGATTTAGAGAGTAATAACTATAAAATAATTGTTAGTTTTAAAATTTTATAACCACATTAGTCTATTTTAAATTTGAATAATCCAATAGGATTATGAAATTTAAAACTAAATATTTGCAATTGAATAATAAAATTTAATTCTTAAAAAACGGTTTTTTTAATCTAATTCTTGTTTTTTTATAAAAACCGATTATGGATTTTTAATATCGCATTCAGACCTAAATTTGAATATACATTCTCAATTAATTAATATAATATAATAAATATTGCTTTAAAATAGAATTAGGGATAGAGTTCCTAAAAATGCGTTTTAAAACCAGTTTTAAAATAAATTGCGTCAAATAAGCACTGCGATTAATGTTTTATAACTTTCAAAACATACTGTTTACTATTTTAGTGTTATTTCCTATTTAGTATCCTGTTAAACCACCATAAAATTACGGTCTTAATCGCGTTTAACTAGAAATGGCCGAGAAATCGTTTCCGGTGGAATAATTTCCATAAATTCCCAACAAATTTGCTAATTCTCAAACTCGGGTGAGCTTTCGTAAAAAATATTTCCTCTCATAAAGGTAAAAAAATATATAAAATTAAAAATAATTAAATTATTTTTCAAAATAATCATTTTAAAATAAAAATACTGAATCTTTTTTTCTATTTCGCCAAAGAATTACAAGATATTGCGTTGGTAAATAAAAAAAAAAAAAATTTATAATGATAAACAGCAAATTGAGAAGTGCATTACTCACCACATGTCAACCCTCTTTTCAGCAACTGCCATCATTTAGAAAGAATACTTTTCCCCATCGTGCACGCGTTGATCTCCACATCTGAAAAAGATAGATTTCATATATAAAATTTATCAATATCAAATTTCAAATAAATAAATCATTCATATTAGAAAATTTGATGACAACCAATTTTACTATAAAATTTTAAATTCATAGAAACTTTTATTTTCTACTTTCAAAAATATAAATATATTTCGAAATGAACAGAACAAAAAATTTATTCGAGAATTTATTTTATTCTAATTGATTTAAAAATTTAACAATATCATTTCTTTTTTCTCTCATATATAAAAGTGTGAGGAATTTTTAGAGAATTTGTTAAATGCCATGTATGACTGGAATCGTGCCAGAATAAATACTAGAAAATATATGTTTTCATAAGACTCTAGAAACTTTTTGAAATTTACTGATGCAGCATCCCTCACACGCGAGTACGTCAAGATTTGAACTTTCAGCTTTTTGGAAACTAAATTGTTTATCACTTTAATTTGTGTAATCTATGGTGGCTGGTTACTATAACTTTTTAGAAAAAAATATAATAATAATTTTTAATTTCTTTTTGCTATCATAAAGATAATTGGAAAAATTGTCTTTCTGCGCATTAGAGTAATGTGTTCTCTTAATACTAAAATTTTTATTACACCCTTAAAATAGATATTTTGAATAAATATATCAAAATTCTCATAAACCCAAAAGTTATTTTTCCGTCTTCATAAAAAGACCCAAAATTATTCTCAGATGTCAATTCGTTATATATATATATATATACATACTTTAAAAGAAAGTCATTCAAAAATAATATCAATTTCAATAAAAAGATTCCCTTAAGCATCACACACAGTTTAGTACTCATGACTTATGAAATAAGTTTTCCTTATCGATTTTCACTCGAATCATAAAAAACACACCGTCAAGGTAAATTTTCAATATAAATATATTTCTCTTCAAATATAAATTATTATACTGACAAAAATAAACAGGAAACTTCTATATATTTCACAAATTTTATTTAACTCATCCTAATGTACTTTGGGCATATTTTTATTGAAGAGAATTTTGTAAATTGAAATATAAAAATTTCCCCAATCATTTTCACTTTTTGAGAGATAACTGTGTACACTAGAAAAACTGTGATTGATACGTGCTTGCCTTATAAAAGCAGAGATGATGGCAACCCTACTGTCAATTTAATTGGATTAACTTTTCTTTTAGGTCGCAAAGAAATTCTTTTGGAAAAAAATTAATCAACCCTGCGCGCCTAAAAAATATATATTGTAAGTAAAAACTACCTGTGTGTATATTGTAACTAAAAACTATACTTTTCCTTTCTTTTTCATTAAAAAAAAAAAATTACGATTTTTCAAAAAAAAAAAATATGATAAATTTTATAAAATAAATCTTTAGATCTTTGAAATTTTTGAAAAAATTAAATTTTCTTTGCAAATCACGAATTTTAGTAATGCCATGAATATTCACATATTAGGTATATGATTTTTTATTGATTTCCAACTTATTGACAATTTTAAAATTAAATTTCTATTTACTGTTCGTCTTTTTTAATATCGTAGTTCAAAATAATCTTGTTGTAGTTCAAAATAAACTTGTTAAAGTTCATGATAGTTTCATACAGAGAAATATTTTTGAAAAATGTACATTTTTATGAATTTTTTCAACAACTTTATATATATATAGGAATTCTTTTTAAGTCACGTCTTAGTCAAGAAATTTGTCATGAATAACTGATCAAATATTGGCAACAATTTATCATTAACTATAACTCCAAAAACATAAGATTAGATATAAAGGTCAACGGCTCAAACAATCAAAAATATATATATGGTGCAATAAAGCATGAAAAAATTTAGATTTTTTATTTTTCTGTTAAAAAAAAATATATTTAAAACGATAATTCAAAATTTAATTGTCAATGAATTTTAAGGGAACCTTTTTTTCTAATTAATTAATAATTAAATTGATAAAGTTAATCATAATAATTTTAAATTTTTTATTAATTATTATTAAGAAACAAAACACACTGAAACAAAATTTATTTGATTCAAATACTTGATTACCTACTTAACTATTATCAAATTAATATTTACTTGAATCAATAATTTTTGTATTTGGAACAAATACCACTTAATTGACTCAAATAATAATAATAATAATAATAATAATAATAATAATAATAATAATAATAATAATTAATTGTGAGTAAAACGTTGTCACGTCAAAAAATACAACTAAATTTTTTGTAATAAAATTTTTCCAATAAAATAAAATATTTACCTTAATAACGAATTTTCAGCTACAAGGAGATATTCTTTCAAACTAAATAGCCCTCGGAGATCCCTACTTTCAAGTTAAATTTCCATTCAGAAAATGTGAAAAATAACCGTAAAAATAGACCGAGTTTTAAAAAGTCTGAATATGAAGAATAAGCCATCGAGGATAGGATCTGCAAAAAGAAAAATTAAAATACTGTCAGCGCTGTATTAACATGTAATTAAATCATTAACCTTTCGGTAATATAAAAAGCTATAAAAAATTTCATTTCCAAATTTGACAAAAATAAATGTGGCATCGAGACTATAAACCTATATTAATCGAATAACACAAAAATCTTGAAAATATAACTTATAGTTTTCGAGAACTTGGCGTCAATATGAACACCAATTTTTCTGACTGACTCCCTAAATCTCGGAGTAAGACGTCACGTCAAAAACACTGCCATATTAAATGTAATTGTAATAATAAATATCATATTACTCTTATTTATAAAGATTTACATCAGCTGCGTGTGCAATACAAATTTATTTTTAAATAAAAGCTAAATTGATTAAGAATTTACAAAAATAAATAAATTATTAACACCTAGAGTTCTACGAAATCTCGTTTCAGCTTTTAAAAGTTGCTGTTGCTTTTGGTCTCATGCCAACTAGACTGCAGGCAGGACATTATTTTTTCTTATTTTTCTCAATATAAACGGACATGTGCATCTGATCAACTATATACAATGCAAGTCAAATTTTACTCCTCACGTATATTAATATTAAAAACATTTTTTTTTTAATTTATGCAAAATCAACTTCTTTTTAAAATATTTTTAATTTTAATAATTTCCCCTTATAAACATTTTAAAACTTTTTATTTAAACATAATTTTTTAATTTATTAGTTTCTTGTTAAATTTACAAGTTTTTAATTTTTTATTTATTTTATTTTAATTACACTGAAATTGAAAATTTATATTATCTTGTAATTTTCCCAATTATTAAAACACCAGAGACAAAATGTATCATCTCTATCGAAATAAAGATATTGCAATATAATTTAAAAATAGTCATTGAATGACTATAAGTTCTCAATGGAATTATTTTTAAACTTGAACGATATGGAGCTTGGGTTCTTTATTAATTTTTCATGAATGCGTATACTATTATCGTTTATAATCAAGTTAAACAATTACCAACATAAAAAAATATTGGTCGAAGCATTTTTCTTATCGATACTTCATGCTCAATAATTGAGATAATTGATATAAAACCATATTAAATTACTTGAGGCGTAAAAGTATAATTGCAAAAAAAAAAAAAAACAACTAATGAATCACTACTTGCTGTAAAAATTGTACAATGAGTAGAAAAAACAATTCCTGTTTACAATCACTGTAAAGAACAAATGTTTTTTTTTGTAAACTTTTTTTTATTTTCAATTGGAAAAGAAACTTGAAGAAATATTCAATCGGAATAAAAAAATTGTATCAACAACAAACTTTTGAAAAAAATATTTGGAAAGGTTTTTGATTATTGAAAAAAGGCCATGAAGAATTTACGATTTTTTGTCGAAATCGTTTTTAACCCTCATCATTTTCTGAAGCTTTTATGTGTTTCAGAAAGTCTCACTTGACACACGAGAGAAAGTCAGCAACACGTTTTGTTAGATGTAGCTTGTCAGCGGGGTGGACCTTTTAGAGCTATCGCCACTTTATTCCCATTATGCGGTTCTATATATTGCTTCTATATACATCACAGTGTAATAAAATACTTTCAGAAAACTCTCAAGGTGTTTTAACAACTAAGAAAATTACAAAAAAAAGTGAAAAATTAATTAAATCAAAAGTTACCTAATATGCAAAAGTTGTTCTTAATTATCACTCCCTATTAATTATAATTGATTCTTTATATCAATTTATTATAGTTTATTTTAATTACATCATTCTAATGTTTATTTTTTATTATGTATATAAAAAAATACTACATTTTCAAATACAAATACAATAAGAACTTTAAATTCATTTTAGAAATAAAAAGCAAATGTACAAATGTTGCTAATTTAACCGTCAACAATATAATTATAATTTTAAAAATAGCAGAAAATTAGTTTTTTAATTTTGATATAATAAAAAACAGGAAGAAATCAAAATTACTATTTCAAAATATTTAAAACAAAAAACCATTAAAAATTCGTTTCAATTGCAAAATATTTGAGTAAAATTTTTCTAATTTAAATAAAAATTTAAAAAAAACATAACATGTATAAACATGTTCTGTTTACAACAGATCGATAAATTACCTTCAGACTTCTTGAGAGTTCAAGAATTATTCACGAGAGGGCACACAAATTACAAAAGTAGATTTAAAAAATATTTTTAAAAAAAATTTTTTTAAATATATATTTTAGAAAAATTATTACTTAAAAACGAAAAATTTTTTTTTTGATATTTCTATGCAACAAAAATATCTTTATTTTAACTCATCAATTGTTTTGTTATCTTAATCAAATGTTTAAAAAATTTTAAAATACAATTTTGTTTACTTTTATGTAAACAAGAAAAATGTTGCTTATTCTATCTAAAAATTTGATTGAGAAAAGAAAAGAGTTTTTTGCACAAATAAACAATTTTAATTGACAATTTCTTTCACTTACATTTCTTATTCTTATTAAAATATATCGAAATTTTTTGGCATTTTAATTTTAAAATACAAATTTTTAATATTTTTTCCATTCCATTAAATGATTCTCTAATTCGGAATTAATTAAAATTTTAACTCAATCAAAAGAGAACAATTTTAATGAAATTGGCAAAATATAAATAAAAAGCTGGTAAATACTAAATAGTAGGAATTTTTCAAATTTTTTTTTTTAAGAAAACAATTTTGCATATTAGTCATACTTATTGATTTGTCGACCTAATGCCTTAAAATAAATCCGAAACCCCAAAAGTTTTATTGCGTGTCTACAAGACAAAGTAGATTAATACTTAAAGAACAGTAATACTTTACATAAGAACACCCCATAATGTCAAGGTAATTATAATTAACATTTTCAAAAATTATCCCAAAATATTGTTTAAATTATTAGAAAAAATTATTTCTGATACTTTTTTTTAATAAATTTTTGTTTATGAAAGCTTATAAAATAAGTAAAAAAAATTTATGGTTTTAGTAATTTATTTTTTAAGCAGTGATTTTAATTAAAAATCAATAAAATTTTATTAGTTCCTGACAGATTTATAAAAATTTATAAAAACTGCTTTTCCGTCAGCACGGCTATAAATGTATGTAAAATTGTATTTTATAAAGCAGTGCAACAAAAAATTTAAAGTTAAATTAAAAAATTTATTATTCACAAAGTTTCTCGGTTTTTCAAATTTGCAATAATGTTGCAAATACTTTGTGCAATTATTTATGAGTAGTTTTATTTATTATACAATTAAATCAAGTCTTTATACCAACCAAATGTATAAAAGAAACCTGTTTAAGTACATAGTACGTACAGTAAATGTACCTATAAGATTTTGCAATTCTTAACTTCATGAAACAGAAAAACTAATTTTCTCTAAATTTCAATGCTAATTTTCATGTTTCTATAAATCAAAAAAAATTTTTTGAATTTTAATACTCTAATTATATATGTATATGAAAAGGAAAAGATAGTTATACACATTTCAGAGAGTACGAAATCAAAAAAATTAGTGTAAAAACTCATTGACAGTATAACTTTTTTTATTTTTATTATTATAGATATAATTATCTAATATTACTCTCTATACTCTTTTTTTATATTCAGCCAATTTCAATCAATATATTATTATAACCAAGTTAAGCAACAGCAATATTCAATGAAATATTTTTTTTAATATGTAAAATTAATATATGATTTTATGTAACGACAATATTTTTGTTTTTTTTATTAGAAAAAAAATTATTATTTCATTAATAAAAATCTAGAATGTCATTAACATGTTAATTGCACGTGTAATCATTTAATTATTATGCAATTTAAAGCAGGTTGTACCCATTTGTTAAAAAATTGTTTATCATTAATTACTTCAATTTTGTTCAGATTTATTTCAATATTGATCTGATGTAAAAAAAAAATTGATAATAATAATATAATATAATTATTTAAAAAATTATAAAAAGAACACTTACCACGAAAAGCTTTCTCTCTTTTTCGCTGCAGTTACATAAAAAAATTATGTTGCGCAAGTGGGATTCAATAAAGAGGGTACAAAACTTTTAAATAATTCCGTCAACACACTTTACACCTGTAACAAAGAAAAAAAAATTCGTAAATTAAAAAAAGGTTTGAAATACAAAGAATTGCTAAACATATAATATATTAATAATAAAAGAGGCTGATATCATTTCAAAGAACTTAACGTGAGATGTCCTTCATATAACTTTTAAAAATCATTAATGAGTTACTATAGATTTCTAAGATTTTACATAGAGAATTAAATCAATTTCATTCAAACCAATTTATATTGTACAATATAAATGTATACATAAAGAATTTATATATATTTTGTTCCTTTCATTGAGCAACGATAAAGATTGTACCAATCATCTTATACCATATATATATCACCTTATACGCATATTATATCAATAAATAAAGTATTTGCAAGCAAAAGTGATAATTTAAATTTCTTATTCCTATCTGAAAATCAATGGAGCATAGAAACTATCATTATTGTAAAAAAAAAATTTTATGCTCGAAAATAATTTATTGCTGTTAGTGGGTAGTAATAATTTTTAAGGGCTACACTCGAAATTGGAATCATGATTGATTTTCATTGGACGCCTTTTCATTATTTGATCAGTAAATTTTAAATTCAGTCTACATAAAGTGATTATACCAATTTCACGTAAATCTAAAATTGATTTAATCGATTTAAATTTTGAAAGATTACATTTGCCTGACAATCAAAGAGAACTATAATGTAAATCATATTCTAGGTTTGAGAGTCTCCTCGACCTCGCTTAAAACCCTAGAAGTACATTGAGTATATCCCAGAGGCTTCCGTATAAAACTCGTTTTTTCAATACCAAGGTCCGCAGTCCGAAGAAGTTCTTTCGAGATTGATGACCGCCAATAACAAAAAAAAAAAAAAAAATAAGAAAAAAAATTAATTTAAACACTAATTTAAAAATAATGATTCAATCAAAAATAATTCTATAAAAATTTTAATTTCAAATAATGATAATTATTTCCCTATTTTCATAATCTCTCACATCATAAAATTTTCAACAAAAAATAATTTTTGATAAATAGTGAAGTTTTGTGAAAATTTTAGATAAAGAAAATGAAGAAAATAGCGTGCGCTTGGTTAGTGATTATTACTGTACTTGGTGCTTGCACATGTGGAGTAAGAACCGCGTGCAATGGACCAACGCAAATTTCCGTTCTTATTGGAGTACATGATGATCCTGCATGCAGAAAATTGTCTTCCAAAGGAGTTATGCTCTTCGAGGCTGCCAGGTTTCTTACCGAAGCGCACAATAATAAAACAAATGGATATAAAATAGGTCCATTTCTACTTTTTTAATCATATTTTTTTGTTGCTAGATTAATTTACTAAAAATTAATAATACTAATAAAAAAATGAATTCATAGCTAAAAGTAGTTATTTTATTTCCTTCATCATTCCCTTTGATTAATTTCTTATTCACGACTAAGTTTAATAATAAAGTACAAAATTAATCTTTTTTTTTTGTATCTTGCTTTGGCAAAAACAAAATTAAAAAATATCATAGAACCATTTTTCATACTTGTTAATTTTATACAGTTTCAATTCAAATGTTTTAATAACATATCTTTGAAATATATAATTTGCAAAATTACCTTTATAATGTTATACAACATAAAGAAATAAATTTGCAATAAATCTGAAAAATTGTTTTCAGAAAATATTCCAGAATTAGAAAAAAAAAAAAAAAAAATGTAGAGCAAGTAGAAAATGCAATTAAAATTAGATTTTTTTTTTCATCGCAAATGAACTTTGTAGAATGGGCAAATTCCATTGCTTTTAATAAATCATTAAACGAGTAGTGTCATTAATACTTTTTTTTTCTAAATGTTTGTTAAATTATACAAATTCATAAATTTGTTTAATCATACAACGAAAAAGGAAAACAAATTTTTTTTTCAACTTCTTCGCACATAGAAATATTTTCAAGTGTATTGAGATTCATTTGATAGATTCAACTATTTAATATGATTGAACAATTAATATGAACTTCAGTTCTTGAATTGATGACATCTGTCAATAATCCTGATAATAAAAAATTTAAATTAGAATTTATATTTTCATTGCGGGAACGCAGACTTGGCTGTTATGGACACGTGCGGAAGCATTGCAGGAGCTCTGAAAGCTTCAATGAGAGCTCTCGTTAAGGCAGATGTCAACTGCTTACAACCACCATTCCATTTAGGTAAGTATGCATCAATAAAACAACAATTAGCTCTCCAATTTTCTTTTTCTATCTTTCAATTTTAAAAATTTCAGAGCAATATAAATGTAATATATAAATATAAAAAAAAATTAAAATAATAAAAAAATGGCGCAATATCAAACAAGGATTAAATCATGTATTGTAGATGATATTATCATAATTATTCAATCAGTATGATAATTTGATAACTGTATATAATGAAGATTAATCTACATATAGGAATTACTTTTACCATAAAAAGAAATCATCAATATCCAATTAAATTTTAAACAATTAGTATTAAATTTTTCATTATGTAAAAATTTAATCCATTCAAAAAATATGACTTTTTCTATTAAAAAAAGTTGCTAGAGACAAAAAAAGGTGTAATTCAGAAATTCATGTAATTTCACTTGGTCTACAAGTTGAAAAAAAAACTTGGTCTTTATGAAACGAACATTTATTTTTTTAATTAACAAGACCCGTTGTGAATATCGTGACGCAAGAAATTCCCAATTGAGTATAAGATACAAACTAAACTAAGATATACACTAATATCAGAAACGCGACTTTTTTTTAATTATTATTACAATTTATAAATACAAGCTTCCAATGAACGGGAGAGTTAATTTATTGTCATTCAACGCGATTCATTAACGATTCATTTAGAGTGAATGGCAATACTAGAATAAAGGCCATGACCAACATAGACATTTTTGTCAAGGAATTTTTTGATTTTTTTTTTTTTTTTTTTTTTTGAAATTATCTTTTCAAAGTCTGTATAGCATGAAGCTGCATATTTAATGACAATAATCAATATGGGAATATAGAATTATTTCCTCGAGGCAACTGTATATAATATAGTTGATCCCTATATTTTTTTCAATGAAAACATCAAACATATTAATTTCAGGAATAATTGGTCCAGACACAATAACAAATGCTGAGGCAGTACAGAAAGTAACTTCAGTTCTAAGAATACCTCATATTCTGAGAAAACCATCAAACTCGCCCTTTTTGCACTACATGCCCAAAGAATCGGATGTATACATTGTTCGAGTTAGTAGTACAATGTAATATTTTTCAAATAAATTAATAAGGAAAAAAATATTTTGAAAAAAATAAAATAAAAATAACCTACAAGAAAAATAACGAGCTAATAATTAAATTTAATAAAATCATCATTTTTTAGGGAATATTAAAAATCCTGAATGCTTTGAATTGGAAAACATTCACTTTAGTAACCCAGCAGAATGATGAATATGATGACGATGTGCAAAATATTGCTAAGAAATTAACGATGGAAGCTATTTCAAAAGGTCTTTGTGTTTTAGTCCACGATAACGACGAAGACGGTAAGAAGATTATATAGTATAATCCTATATATATATATACTGACTAAAAATAAACTAATGAATAAAAATGATCAACAATTTTAATTACAGAAAAAAGTCAAACTAAAGAATTTTTCAAAAAAAAAAAAAAAAACCTATAATGTTCCAAAAAAACTTTATCAACAATTTTTCATACTTATTTTCTGTGGCATTTTCCAATAAATCTTTTATGTTTTTGAGTACCCATAATGTTTTCTACTTAAGAACTTTATCTTATTGTAGTTTTTTCAGAGATTATTATTATTTTTTTTTTAATTATAAGTTTTTTAATCCTTGTAGAATGTAAATATCTGCTTCATTCATAATGTATTAGTGTAATAAGAAAAGATTACGGATCTTGGATCGATTTTATCGAACAGTGAATGGGAATTAATTATTAATTATAAAATTACAAATAACTTATAAATTATATATTAAAGATAAATTGTATTCTTAAAAAAAAAACTAAAAAAAGAAAAATATTTTAAAAAATGGGTTATTATACAAAAAAAAGCAAAATAATTATACACAAATAATTTACATTCTACAAATGAAGTAAAAATAAAAAATGTTTATCTTCTAAAACAGATTATTCATCGAAAATCGTGCACATTGGGAAACCTAGTAATGGACTTTTTACTGGATCAATGAATGCATCGATTCTAGTTGTCAGTGAAGGAAATTTAGAAGGATATTTGAATCGTGTAAACTCGACTAATTCAATATTGCTCTTAGAAGATGCCAGGTAACGTTTGTTAGATAACTCAGATATTATAGTTAAATACGCTACAGTTTTTTCTTTATTAATAAAAAATAATTAATAACACAATTTTCTAAAAACTGTTATTTACCGATGACACATTATTTATTTATAATTCGTTTTAATTGGAATATAACGGTATCATGATAATTTGATTTGTGAAGGCAAAAAAAGAAGCTTTTCCACACAATATATAAAAGATAGAAAAATTAATGAATATTTAATTGCTTTCTGTTATATATTAATTATAATATCGATTTTCATAAAACGCGGTAAAAAGTAAAACAAGGAATTCAACCTTGAATTAAGGAACACCTTTGTGCAACTAAAGTTGCAATTTACAATATGAATTAACTTTACTCGACTTCCTAGTCACTTATATTTCTTGCAACTTTTACGAAGGCCAACAAAGTAATAACGTCAAACGTTATTTGCATTCTAATTCTACATTTTAAAATGTTTAAATAAATAATTTTCTACAAAGAATTAAAGCATTGTTCTTTGTCAAAAGTTCAATTATTTTCTTAATGAACAAGAATTAAGTAAATGTGTCATTTCCTTAACAGAATAAACTTTATAATACTCTACAGAGATAATTATTAGACGAAAATATGAAACAGTGAATTTTTTTTTTTTACTAATAATTATATATCTTCGTTCCGTATATCTTAATTCCCAAAATGTAAATTGTAAAAAATTTTTTTTAATTAGTAATGAAAAAATTTCCCAATGGGAAACTGCCACGAGTAACCATTGGCGTATTAATGGCCCAATGATGGGAGCCAATGAAAAAACCATTGGCACCCAATAATGGACCATTATTGGTAAAGTCATGGGCTGTCCACGCCGATGCCAATGATTGGCAACCATCATTGGCAAATTATTGGCAACCAATAATTAGCCAATATTAAAAATTTTAATAATAATTTAAAAAATCAATAATTTAAAAAAAAATTTATATTTTTATTATTTTTTAATAGTTATTATTATTATTATTTTATTTTTAATAATTAAATTAAAATAAAAAAATGGTCATCAAAGTATTAGTGAAACTATTTCTTCCAAAAAAGAGTTTGTCTCAAATCCAATTAATAGAAGAGACATCGGGCAGAAAAAAATTTCGACGAGAAAAATATTTTAGATCACTGCTTATATACCAATCAAGTGGCATCTCAACTGCGAGAAACAGTGATGTTTGCCCTCCCTTTGCGGCGTTGAGTGAACTAAAGTCCAGAGCTGAGCCATCAGCGCAGCGCGGGAACATTTAAAAAATTTGATTTTATTAGATATTTTATTGTATAATAATTAACGAATTATTAAGTATGACATTATGTTATTAATAATTATTAATGACATTAATTATTTATTAAGTTAATTATTTGTCATATTTAAAATAAAATAAAATATCTAATAAAATCAAATTTTTCAAATGTTCCCGCGCTGCGCTGATGGCTCAGCTCTGGACTTTAGTTCACTCAACGCCGCAAAGGGAGGGCGAACATCACTGTTTCTCGCAGTTGAGATGCCACTTGATTGGTATATAAGCAGTGATCTAAAATTTTTTTCTCGTCGAAATTTTTTTCTGCCCGATGTCTCTTCTATTAATTGGATTTGAAACAAACTCTTTTTTGGAAGAAATAGTTTCACTAATACTTTGATGACCATTTTTTTATTATAATTTAATTATTAAAAATAAAATAATAATAATAATAACTATTAAAAAATAATAAAAATATAAATTTTTTTTTAAATTATTGATTTTTTAAATTATTATTAAAATTTTTAATATTGGCTAATTATTGGTTGCCAATAATTTGCCAATGATGGTTGCCAATCATTGGCATCGGCGTGGACAGCCCATGACTTTACCAATAATGGTCCATTATTGGGTGCCATTATTGGAATTATATTGGCATCCCTGGCTCCCATTATTGGGCCATTAATACGCCAATGGTATTTTTCCCATTGGGTTATTTCAATTCAAGAGCTTTAAACAGATAGCCATTTATTTATTATGAAAACAAAAAATACTGATATGAAAATCAATTAAAAAACTTTCGCATTTGATATAAATGATTAACATAAAATATCCTTTGCATATTCCACGATTATTGAGGCTAAGGATCTTACACTGTATAAATAATAATCATTCACAGATCGCAAATGAATATATATTTTTACTGGTTTTTCTATTTTAAAAATTTCTCGTTATTATAAATATAAAAATTACTTGTTCTCACTATTGTTGATTTTAAAAAACAATTCAAAAATTTGTTACATTAATTTTGTTTATTAGAAATTATATTTGTTTTCAGAAACGATTTCGACGGTTTGGAACAGAGGGTACAAAGATCAAGATGGTGGGATGAAGATGGTGCAAACACTTATGATACCGAAGAAATGAGAGATGTTCGATGGTTGCAAGATACAGTGGATGTTTATACAAAAGCCCTTGATGTTTTATGGTAAATTTATATTATTTTAGAATTAAAAAAAAATCAAAAATTGAAAATACTCAAAAACACATTTTATATGCAACAGTAAAAAGAAGAAATGCAAGGGTCAAGTAAATCCTACCGATTGGAATAATATTTTGGTAAATGTATTGTCGACAAAAATAACAGAAGAAGACACATCATCAAAATCATTAGATCTATCATTAAAAACAAGATATTCAAAATTAACTCCTTTGGGAAGAATGAAAGTTACCAAAGGTAAAGCAAACATGGCTTGGGGAACGTCTGAAGATGACGACGATGATGATTTTTCCGATGATGATGAGGAAGAAGGTGACGTCGGTCATGTTCCAAAATTATTTAAAAAACTCATTTCTAAACAAAAGGAATCACGAAGCGGATGCGCTACTTCGACAAAGGAAATAAAAAGTACACTCGATGATGATGATGATAATGAAAATTCACATGTTTTCGTTACCGAAATGGAAGAAAGTGAATGGTGGACAATGGTAAGATTAATTCTTTTTTTTTATCTCTTTATATAATATTCTATATTGATATATAATTTCGAGTATTTGATATGTAGTTGCATTTATATTTTATTGGTTATTCAATTGCGATAAGTATATGCCATTATTAAAATAGACACGATAATAGCATTGAAATGAAAAAAAAGAATCAAACCGAAAAAACGAAACTAAAAAAGATTGATACTATTAATGCTGACATGATTATTCATTTTCTTAAGAAGGAAATGGACTCGATAAAGCATGTCAACGTAAGAAATTCCAATTGACGTAACATACCTTTTATGAGTCAAAGCCAGATACAATTTCTAAAACAATTTAAATATCTAATAAATTTATCTACTTTATACAACTAGATTCACGTTATTCTTGTTATATCGCTCGGAGTGTCTACTGCGAAAAGTTACGAAATGGAATTTTTTAAAATTTAATGATATACCTGAAAAGATCCCGTTAATATTTTTCCTAGACTGTATTTTATATACTAATATTACATTCGAATTAATATTGATTGTAGATTATATTGTTAAAAGTTCAATAGCACCCTCTCCCTCATATAGAGTAGTAAAATTAATTAGAAAAAGAAAATTTTTCAATTTAACCCTCTGCCTATAAATTCTGTCAAATAATTCGTTAAAATCAAAATTCTATAAAAATTTGATTTAATATAAATTCCATTTTTTATACTGCGATTAATTAGAAATTGGACTATATGAATTTTAAAACAAATGAAAATTCGAACTTACGAATTTTTTTTTATAGGGAATATTCATGCGTCATCAGAAAAAAAAACTACAGCAGAGGCAGAGAGTTAATATTGCATATTATTTTTAATGTAAACTCCAAATTCTTAAAAATATCTCAATATTCTTGAGATAAAATTATTCAAAAAACACACTGAAAAATATTGAAAAAATTTTCAGGTGATGACAGTGAGTGGAGTGGGTGTATCCATGTTTACATTGGGATTTCTGGCTGTTTACATCGTCTACTCAAATATTCGGGGTCTCACAAATTAAAGTTCAGAAATTAAAATTCATTCCTGACATAATTAGATATAGTATTTAGAGCAAGCGAATTATTTATTTAAAAAAATTAAATTTATCCAAAATTTATCCTATTTAAAAAACATATAGTTAAATCCCAAAATGCATATTTTTTGTTTTATTAGCATAGTCAAATCCAAATTTTTAAGAATTTGGAATTTGAAACATTTATAAAGGTTTTTTAAAATAAACGTGGAAAAAAAACTTTTAGTTCCTTTTAAACTTTCTCAAAACAACATCGAATAATATTTAATGGTATAAATAAATTTCAGGTAATGACAGTAAGTGGAATAGGAGTGGCCATGTTTTCTGTTGGTATTTTGGCTGTTTACATTGTCTACTCAAATATTCGTGGACCAAGAGCGTCAAAAAATTTAGAAAGGGACAATAGTTTAAGAAGAGTCGGAAGTGATCGAAGACCAACAATTACACAACGAGTCTTAAGAAGTAATCCGAGAAGGGAAAGTAATCGAAGTATTCAAAGTAATATCTCAGAGAAGAGTGTATGAGAAATATTTTCATTCCTGACATGAACAAAATAAGACACGTTAATTTTTCAAATTAATATGCTTTCAAAAATTTTCAGAAAAATCTTTACGACTCACTATTATATAATAGCTCACTGAATTAATTATGAATAATTATTGTAATTAAATCGAGAGAGAGAGAGAGAGAGAGAGAGAGAAAGAGAGCTTTGGTAAAAAACAAAAATTTAATTTTAAAAATCATATCAAAAGAAATCAAATACATCATGAAGATGTAAGTCGGATATTTTATTTTCTAATTTCCATTTAAAAAAAAATTATGTAATTTTAAATAATAAATATTTTCACTTCGATTCAGTCTTTTGAGATGACACAAAAAAAAGCAATCAATCAAATGATATTTCGTCTTAAAAGATTGAATCATAAGGATAAAAATTTAATTTTAATTAATTTACTGAATTATTTTATTTACATATAAAAATGAAAAAAAGTATTATAAAAAAAAAATAAAGTATAAAAATATTTTTGTTGTAAATTTTTAAGATCTAATAAAAGAGTTATCTATTTTTGAAATAAATAATAGTCTTCTGTAAAAATAAATTTTTGTTTAGCTTATAGAACTGCGAATGCTTAAACGGAATTAATTTAGATTATTAAGAAAGTATCAATTAGAAAAATTTCCTTTTTTTTTATAGCAAACAAAATAAGAAATGTATAATAATTATACAATATAAAACAGACTATTTATTTCACGAGGAAAAAAAATGATCACAAACAGGTAAAATTAATTAAATGATTAACTTTTTCTAATTGCTTGACGGTCATTTTTTCCTTGAAGATAAATTAATTTAATTAACAAATTAAGACTCTAATGTGATTTTATTTATTATAATTAAAGAAAATTTAATTAATAATATAAAAAATGTACGATATTTAATTATTAAAAAATTTCACAAATATGTAACTAACATTGTAATGATACAAAAATAATAAAGATTATTAATTTAAATTTTTTGACTTTTAATAATTAATTAAATTAATTTGATAATTGTTACTAATTTATAGATCAATTTTCATTATTTATAAAAAAACATAATTCTTGTATGTGGTTATTAGACAGGTTAATTGATTTGTTAGAATTTTATCCTCTCGAATATTTTTTGATAACCGGAAATTTTGACAGTGTGGCGCAGTGGCTAAGGTTACCACGGATGTTGCAGATTAAGATCGTAATAGGGCTATGAGGAATCTAAAGGCTACATGGATGAATAGATACCTTCTATTGTTCTCACCACTTGACCTAATCAGACAGTAAATCGAGATTACGTAATGAGTCAATGATTGTTATTACATACTGTATTATATATATATATATTCACCACTAAACTTTGCATGTAAAATATACGCATATAACTCTCAAATAGATATATATAATAAATTCTCCTTCCTAAATGTATACAAATTTTACAAAATCATCGACATTTATCTATGTCCACATATTTGACCTTATCCCCGATTTTCATTCAATACACTTTCTCTTTTTTTTCTTCTTATCATTTGTTAATTTCTATTCAGACCTTGGAAAATAAAGATACATGCATATTTCGTTATTTAAATATGTTTCATTTAAAAATTATATTGTATTACATTTTTAATAAAAGGAGTTCCCAAAAAATAATATATGCATACGGTTCGAAAATGATACAAAGATTTGATTTTGATTAGTTTAACAGCATATCTACTTCCCTAAAGAATTAGTAAACATTTTAACTAATTTGAACTAATTAACTCACTTTTTCCTTTCGAATTAGTTAAATTGTACTAATTTGATAGTAAAAAACATTTTTTTTTTTAGTTCAAATTTTCACTAATTTAGATTTAGAGAGTATAGGCGAATATTCTGTTTTCTCTCACTGACAAAAAATTTTTCCCTAATTTCTTTAATTTGAAAAAAAAAATGTTAAATTTTCCAAACTGCAATCTTAAAGTATATTTAATTTTACTAAATTATAATAATAATGCTTTGAGATGCATATATTTAAATGAACTTTAAATTTTAATTATTTTGAATTTGAATAATTTATCAAAATCCCAGAAAATATTCGCAACATTTAAAAGGTTAATAACACGCTGACCATAATAAATGTGAGTGCAATTCTGTAGTGATGTCACTAAGAAAAGTCAGTATACAGTTTCTACTTGATTTATTTTATTAAAGGAGGGAAAAAAAACAAAGTTGAGACATGATCATCATGATAATAGTGTGAAAGTTTTCCTGTTCTGAATATTGGGTTTTACCAAGCGGAAGAAGGAAAAATACCTTCTACTAACGCAATTATAACTAATTTTATTTCATAAAAAAATAATTTCATATATTTCTCAAAAATATTAATGTAAGTTTATTCCATTTTGATTTTATAAGATACAAGAATTTTTAACAGTTATTTAATTTAGATGAATTTCTCTTCACTCTATTCTATTTATTTATATGCTTTTTTATTTTATAACTAAAATGGCAACTCAAAGAAATTAATGAGAATATAACGTTTTCCCTAATACGTACTATTTTATTATATGCAATGAATAAACGCATACGAAAAACTGTAGATACAATATGAACCGGTTTTCTAAGGGGTCATGAAATTGTCATGACGTCAATTCACGTGCGCTATAAGCAATATACATAAAAGAAGGGGAAAGGGGGGCAAGATGAGATAGAAGACAAGGCGGGTTATTTATCTTTATTCACAAAATAATTAACCAATTATGGTTAATTACCAATATGACTCACTTTTTGCTTCTAAATTAGTCAAATTTTACTAATTATTAATAACTTTTACTAACAATTAGTAAAATTTAACTAATTCTAAAGCAAAAAGTGAGTCACTAATTTAAATTAGTAAACTTTTTTACTAATTCAGATTTAGAGAGTATCCTATCTTACCCTCAAGGTAGGTCAAGATGGACATACTTCACTTTGCTACGTTTTGTTAAACAAATGTTCCTAATAAGACTGTGCCACGGAAGACTGAGTCCCAAAGATGATTATTATAATAAATAATAAAATATAGATATAATAATGTTAGTTTTATTGAGTTTCAAACGTTAAGTATCCCATCTTGACTTCCCTTTCCCCTAATTTTTCTTTTATATATAGGAATCAATTTTTTACTTCCCGTAAATATAATTATATTTAATATATTGATGATGTAATATCAAATTTCAAAATTTTTAATTAATTTTCCAAAATCATGTTCCGAATCGTCAAAAAAAGAAATTTTAATTATTTTTTTTAATTTTAAAAACGAAAAAATTAAATAAAAACAATTTTTAAGGGGGTCCGAAATATTCTGTGTATAAAAATATCATGATTTCTTAAAAAGAATGTTCCGTTCAACAATATTAAAGAACGCTATACACCAATTTCTGGTTCTTTCATAAACTTTACAAAAAAGGAACCTTGAAAATAATCGTTAGTAAGAATCTGGTTTGACGACTTTTAGTACATTTTACCATAGTGATCTATACCTACATTGTATTCAAAAAAAGGAAAAAACAATTATTTTCTTCCAAATTAAAAAAAAAATCAAAACAAACAAGTTTAGCACAAAAAAAATTATATTTTAAATTAAAGAATATTTCTTCGTTTTGATTTAAAAATATTTTCTATATTGTATTTTTAAATAGAGAAAATAATTTTCCTAATTCAAAAATTTTCTCATCGAGAAAAGAATTATTTATTTTTAAACAAAAACCAAAATATATTTTTTAATGTAGAATATAACTTAAAACAGTGAAAATTATTTGATTTTTTCAACAAATCATTTAATTGATATTTATGCAATAAAAATTGTTTAATTGTCTCAACAAAATGTTGGTTAAATAAAAAAAATATTGTTAAATTTTAATTAATAAATTAAATTTTAGTTAAGACAACAAAATTTTAATTAAATTAAACAAAATTGAGATAAACAAAAATTTTTTAATACCAAATGATTTCACAAATATCAATGAAAATGTTGTGTTATCAAAACAAAAAAATTTTCACACAGAGTTCCTTGGTTTTCTTTTTTTTTTTTTAATTATTTCATTTATGCAAAATGTCGAGCGAAATCGATATCAATATTTACAAAAAAGTACAATAGCTTTTGTTAGAAGGGTATATGCAATAAATGATTATATTAACGATTCAGGGTCCTCGAAGGCAGCTTCATATAAAAGCACGAGAAACGTCCATGAGAAGAGACATTCTCTCGCGTCAGCCACGCCGATAATCATCTGACAAAAGATTTGTACCACTCACCAAAATTAATAAAATTTAATTACAAAATCTTATTAAAGATTTATAAGAAACAAAAATATAATATGCCTAATAGTAATGTTTCTTTTGAGTAAAAGAAAATACAATTCACTGGATTATTGATTTAAATTATTCATTTAACAATTAATTAATAAGTTTAGTGAAATTATCGAACAGTTAAGAAGTGGGCGTATCAAATGATAAGGTGAAATGAGTTTCAATCGCAGTTAAACTCTTAGTATTGTGATTTTAATTACTGTGCTAATTACGTGTTAAGTTCTTAGTGATCAGTGTGTACAAGGAATTAACCAACGGTGGGTAAACTACTTTTTATTGAGTAATTAATTAATCTCCTAATTATTCATTTACATTTAGTTCATTTTTGTCTTATACTCACAATTCACTTTTGTATTTTACTCATTTTTAAATTTAACAATATAATTAATTTTTTGACACAATTAAAATTCATTATTCTTTGTAATCAACAAAAATTAATGAATTTAAATTTTATTAACATTTTTATTGTAGAAATTTTTTTTTTGTTTTTCTTAATTAAGAATGAAAAATCACACCACTTTTTTTGTTTCGTGTCCTTTTTGGGGAAAAAATTGTTCAAAATTCTTTTTTATTTATTTTTCTTCTCAAAGAAGACTTAAAATTTTTGTATCCTAAAGTAAATCATTTTAAATGTTTTAATCAAAAAGAAACAAATTATTAAAATATATTTTTTTCTGAAACAGATGTTACATATATTCTACAGATATTTTAGAATCTTAATGGAGAAAAAAAGGCAAGATTAATTTTAAAATATACTCAAATCATTCGATTTCAGTGTGGCAATGCGTTTATTGAACCATAACATTTTCAGTATATATACAACTTTAACCAACTTTCATGTTTAAAGCATACTTGCCTAATAGAGCGACTTATTAGGCCCCCTTCCCTAACACATTTTTCCATGCTAATAATTTTTCTTTTTCTTTCTAATTTCCTCCCCACTTTTTCCAACTCTCACACTCTATTCTCATAAATTATTCTACATGGTCTGTTCTTTGAGATTTCATAAGATATCATTAGCAGGCACAGCGAATTTAAATGATAGTTGCAAACTTGTACTGTAATCGTTTGTTTCACACACTATCTACTTAAAACTGTAAGCAATTAACAAAAAAAAAAAAAAACTTTTTTTCATTTCTTTATCAAACTCCTCTAATTAAACAAATATTCAAAATATTAATATAATAAAGAAGTGATCGATTTTTCATTCAGAAATTATGATAGTAATATTTTCAATTTTTTTTTTTTTTTTGAAATAAAATAATTTTAATTTAAAATAATATTATTTTGGTTAGTTTACACATTTGTTGAAATAAAAATAATAAAAAATCATTTTAAAATCAAATTACAAGTTAAGAAAATATCTTCATGAAACTGCCTTGTAATATTATTTCCTATACACAGTTTTTTATGAATCAAAATTTTACACAAATCTATAATGAGAGTATAAGACATAGATTAATTAAATAAACAAGTCAACATAAGTGCTTTACTAATTCTTTAATTGAAAACATGTATTATGCTAATTATCACAAGCAATTGCTGTTAAGATCTCTAATCGCGAAAGCCTTAATGTAATAAAGCAAGGAGATTGATATATCAGTGAGATTTAATGTGAAGTGTGAATACAACACAAAATACGTGTATAATAACTAATAATGGTATTAATGGTTTTTCTACAATGGATAATGAAATGTTTATTGTCTGTATAACTAAAAAAAAAAATTTAATATACGTTTCGCACCTTTATTTATCACTACAACTTTGTAACGTTTTTTTAAAGGTAATATCCTGTAACCTAATAGAAACACGTGCTTTTTGCGAACAAAGTCTATATAACTAATATTTATTTCATAAAATTTTTTTTATCCAATATTCCCATGAAATATTCGCATAATCATTGTTCTGCTGTGAGTGGCAAGTGTGTCACCAGTGAATGCCTAACTTGTTAAAAAAAAATTATATATATATATGCGAAAAAACTACATTGAATAAATAATAAATCAGAGTAATTAACTCTATGAATCATTTATCATTTTATATATTATTGTTTAACGAAACATTCTTTTTATTAGTCATTAACTTTTTTTAAAAAAATTTTTCTCCTCACTTTGAAAAATGTTAAAAACTGTAAAATTAATTTATTTACACTAAAAAAAATTTATTTAATCGATTACTTTACTAATCAAATAAATATTTATTTGCATTAAATAATTATTTGAGTTGTATTTTTTTCGATTACAGAAATTATTGGTTGAAATATATTATTACATTCAATTATTTGATTTTAAAAATGATTTTGTTTACGTAAATATTTATTTGCTAGTCAAGTAATGGATTATTTGAATCAAATAAATTTTCTTTCAGTGTACTCTATTTATTATTAAAAATAATTTTTAAAAAATTCAGTTAATGAATTCTCAACTATAAATAAAAGTATAATTTCAACAGATTTTTTTCATCAAAAGTATTGATATTATAGATTTCATTCCAATAAAATTATTACTCATTTCACAGATTAATATCATGTTTGAACTCAGTGTAAAACATGCATTTCGAAACGTATAATTTCGTTGGTTATAATATCTTATAAACTCCAACAACACATAATCTACAACTACATAGATATCTTAAGTGTGTGATTTCTTTCTTTAATGGTTAATTTAAAAAATTTATTTTATACATACAGTGCAATCATAATTCTCTAATATTTCCATCACGCGGGAACAGTGACGATATAGAAATTTCAAGTGAGATATAAATCATATAAGAATATATTTCTTATTAAATAAAAAAAAACATTATAAAAAATATACTTTCAAATTAACTACTTAAGTTTTAATGGTGACGTTAATAGTAGTAATTTACGTAATAAAGTTCCATTACTCATGGAAAATATAAGGGACTAAGTAAACAGTTAATTAGAATATAAATCATAAAATGATGATGAAGATGACCTACTCCTAAGCTAGCACCTAACTTTTGTCAGCTAATGTTTTTATTTCTCTCTAACCATCAGAACAATGTATAAATAATTATATAGGGAAAGCCTTGAAGCTAATAAACTGTGTATGTCTCAATTATGCATGAAGAGAAAATCATGACATTTTCACAAGTTTCGAAAGCATAATTTCTTGAACGTAGTCAGTGCAAGAAATTTTTTTTTAGAAAATTTATTTCTTTATGATAAATAATTAATGAAAAGAGATTTTTCTATAAAGGGGTTGAAAATATTCACATTAATTTCTCTTGATACAACAATTTCAATATAATATCTATAGAATTACGAATATAACGGAAATTAATAATCAATTTAATTTGCATTGCAAATTTTTCCTATTTTATCCTTTAGAACACCTTTCGATCGCAAATAATTTAATACACAATCAATTTGTCAAACACGATCGCTTCAATAAAAGTTAATTATTTATAGTATTTGAAAGATTTATACTAATTTGAATAAATTTTCACATTTGCATCATAATAAAACTTGAACTAATTTTGAATATTTTTCTTTTATGGAATAAATCATTTTAAATAGTGAAAAATATTTAATTTAAATTTTAATAAAATTTCTATATTATTTATTGTAAAATAAAAATTAATAATTTATTAAAATATTTTTTAAATTGTTAAAAAAAAATATTATTAGAAAGTAATTTCTTTTTCAGATGGGTTCTCTTCAACAACAATCGATACTAAAAGGAAGTAATACTCCCTTCAGTGATAAGAAGCAATTAATTCACAATATTCTAATCGAAACTGCTACAAAATATCCAAATCGAACAGCAATTCTATATGAAGGTAAATTAAGACTAAGACCTAATTAATGTTAATTTTCTAAAACGATGAATATTAAATGAAATTCCAGATGGAAATGGACAAGAATTTTCGATTTCATATGAAAATCTTAATAAAACTACTGATCGATTGGCAAAAACTCTTCGAAGATATTGCAAGCCTAATAATAATTCGGAAAATATAATTGCCGTTTGTTTAAAACCAACGGAGCGATTACCAATAATTTTAACAGCAATTCTCAAATCGGGAATGGCTTATTTACCATTGGATTCTGAATTTCCTGCCGGAAGAATAAAACACATTCTAAATGAATCACAACCGGCTATGGTGATTATTGAAGAAGAAGGTAAAACACATTTTATATTAATATTTAATTGATTAAAAAATATTTTCTATATATACCTAGATATTATTATTCATATCCTTGAAAACTGTCAGGTTGACATTTTCAACTATAAGTATCTATTAAAAGTTTACAGGTAAAAATTATACCCTTATAAGCTTCCGGCAACTTTTAAAAGTTATTAAGTAATTTGAAATTTTAAAATCGTTTCTGAAATGTCAGATTTTTATCTATTCTCCAGAAAAGCTATATAATTTCCTGTGTTTTTTTTTCTTTTATTTCCAATATATATATATATATAATTTTATTATAAACATTAAAAATATATAACTAAAAAATATTTACACGCACTAATATACATGTCGAATAATTCAATATATGTAGATTTATGTTAAATTTTATTAGTATAATTATTTCCTTCCATGTTATCGACTTTAAGAAACAACCTTGCTGGCGTCTGAGACAAGTCTCGATTAAAAAGGTCAACGGAAACTACTTTTTCCTGCCAGTTGACTGGGTGTGATACGTGTAAATTCAAATTGTCTTATGCGTTTCCTATTTTCACAAAGAATCTTTTATTCATCTTTTGTTCGTCTTTTCAGAGATTTATTTATTCAACATTGAAAAACTTCGACTATTATTTTCAATGTATAGGATTTCATCATCTCAGAAAAAATGTATATAGTAAAATTTATAGCCGGAAATTAGAAATTGGGTCAAATTGCGTGTTATTTTTTAATAAATAAAATGAACAGATTATAAAAAAAAATTTTTTTTTAATAAATATTAAAGTTAATTGAAAAATATTTAGAAAATTTTAATAATTGATGAGAAATTATTAGTAACATTATAGTTTTTAAATTTTATTCCTTTGAATAGACGGATATTTATTTTAGGTGTCTCTTTCTTTAACAGAGGACAGATCAATATATCAAGGAAATCATTTATCAACTTATGAGCAACTTTTGGCCGAATCAAACAAAGAATGGGAGGATCCATTGAGATTAAAAGAAAGTCCAGAACAACTTGCTATTGTTTTATATACTTCAGGAAGTACTGGAATTCCAAAAGGTAAAATAAAATAATAAAAATTATTTTCTGGTTAACTTTTGTAGAAACATTTTTTCAGATAAGTCCATTAAATTCTTTTTAATATAGTGAAAATTATAATAAAAATTTTTAATTTTTAAGGAGTAAGATTACCCCATACAGCATTGTTGAATCGTTTACAATGGCAGTGGAGGGAATTACCATTTTCACCAACCGAGGAAAAATGTATATTTAAAACAGCGTTAACGTTCGTTGATAGTGCACCTGAAATATGGGGACCACTTTTACAAGGGCGTACAATAGTTGTCATACCGAGAGCACTAACAAAAGATCCAGAAAAATTTGTGCAAATGCTCGAAAAACATCAGGTACTATATATTTATAACATAAAGTAAAAACATAACTGACGTAAAATGTTACAAATGTGTTATATAATAGAAAAAAATTCTGTTTTTAAAAAAAGTTTTTTGTAAAAACAATAAAAAAAAAAAAATACGATAAATTTTTCAACAAGGAGTATAACCAGAAAACAATTTAAATGTATAATTACAGATCCAACGACTTGTTCTGGTGCCTTCTTTATTAAGATCGATGCTAATGTATTTGAGCCTTGAGGTATTTTTTTCAATCTAATTTAAAAAAAAAAAAAAATTTATATCAATGGAATATTAATTTTTATAGAATATTAAAATATTCTATAAATTAATTTTATTCGTCAATTTCAGAATAGAAAAGATGCATTATCGACTTTAAAATTATGGATATGTTCCGGTGAAACGCTTCCCGTTAGTTTGGCACAAGAATTCTTTTTGCGGTTTGGCAATAATGAAAAATTATTAGCCAATTTTTATGGAAGTACAGAAGTTATGGGAGATGTTACATTTCATTTATTAAGCGAACATTCACAATTACAAGACATTGATAAAATACCAATAGGTAAACAATGTAACTATATTATTTTTAAAAATGAATCATACATTTTTTTTTATACGGAAGTAAAAATTTTAATATAACAATTTACTCCTTTTAATCTATTACTATTAAATAATTTTCAATCATTAATAATAATTGCTGAACATTATTACCGCGGTAATAAATTATTTAATAATTAAAAATTTGTTTTTTAGGAAAACCGGTAGATAATTCTATAGTTTATATTGTCAATAAAGAGATGAGATTACTTCCTCAAGGAGAGGTTGGAGAATTAGTGGTTGCAGGAAAAAATTTAGCAGCTGGATACATTCGGGGTAGAGATGCTCATAAGTTTTTAGATAATCCTCATGTTATTGATCCAGGTAAATTATTTTTCATGTAATTTTTAATTAACCTTTAAATTGACTTCAAATCAATATTTTATTTTTTTTTTAATGCGAACAATAAAAAAAATTTTAATAAAAAAATCGATAAAAAAGTGAAAATGAAATCTATAAATCAATGCATTAATTATAACACATTCCACATGAACAGTACTCTGTTATTAGATTTAAATTTGCAACTTTAAATCCGATCGGTGACAGGAAAACAATTAATAACTGCCAAGGGGCGTTTTTATAAAAATTAAAAACCGATAAAATTAACTTAATTCTATATAATAGAGAATTTTAAAGCATAGTTTTATATATGGATCTGCATAATATTAAACTAAAAAAAAACCTATATAGTTATTAAGGTTACCCTCGTTTAAAATGCCTACGCCTTTCTTTTATATCCAAGGTTTAATCCGATTCATTTGCTATTATTTATTATTTAATAATACACTTGTTATTTATAATGTACTAAGACTGGAATAAATTAATTGAAAATCTTTGTTTTTATATGACAGATTTTTTTAAAATTTGAATTAAAAATATTTTAAGATTTATTTATAGACCTCGCGTTTTACAATTATTACTTGAATAATTTCCGATTTTAAATATATATATGATAATTAAAAGTGCATAAAATTTTATTTTAGAATATTCAGTGATTTTCCGTACGGGTGACTATGCAAGAATTGATCGTGGTATCGTTTATTATGAGGGAAGAACTGATTCACAAATAAAAATCAGAGGACATAGAGTTGATTTGTCTGAAGTCGAAAAAGCTTTTCTAAATGTCTCGGAAGTTGATAAAGCAGTTGTATTGTGTTATAAACCGGGAGAACTTTCACAGGTACGAAAAAAAAGGAAACTTTTGTTACCATTTATAAGAAAGAAAAACATATCAAGAATTAAAATTGATTTTTGTAAGTGACTACGAGCCAGTATTTTTTGCTGAGACTGATAAAATACTTTGGAAATATACTTGAGAACTTTTTGAATCAATAAAAATTCTTAAAAAGATAATAAAAGAAAAAAATGATCTATTTTCAGGCACTGGTAGCATTTGTAACTGTAAAGGAAAATAATATTTCTAGTCAACAAATCGAATCTTTTCTGCAAACACTTCTAGCCCCTTATATGGTACCGCAAGTTATCATCGTCGACTCTATACCACTGTTAACTAATGGAAAAACAGATAGGCAAACTCTCTTAAAAGAATACGAACTGTCGTCCCATAACGGTAATTATTATTTAAAAACTATTTTTAAAATTTAATTTTTAATCAGAATTTAAAATAAAATCTATAACGAATAAAAATTAAATAATAAAAATAGGATATTTAAATTTAAATTATACATAAAAAACTTAATTCTCTTTTTCAGACAATCATATAGCTATCGACTGTGATTATTCTGGAGTTCCAGAAGAAGATATGGCAAAAGCCGAAGTTTTATTTCCAACAGTTGCTTCGGTAATTGGACGAAGTAGTCGACATGCAATTACAATTGATTCGAATTTTTATCATTTGGGTGGAAATTCATTGAATTCTATTTACACTGTGACAAAATTAAAAGATCAAGGTTATGAAATTAGTATAACAGATTTCATCACAGCAAAAACAATGGCTGAAATTTTATTTAGAATGAAACTCAGTTCGGATTTAAATTCAGACGAAGAATCTCAATCTAATAAAAATTATTACACAGAAATGTTGAACGATTCCCATCAAGACGATGTGATAGAGTATGTTATTTGTTTAAATTTTATCATGACTATTATTAACTAAATTAGATAATAAAAAAAATTAATTAATCATTATATAAATCTTGATTAACAAATTTGTATAATTTCTATTTAAAAAAAAAATAATAATAATAAAACAAAATTTCAATTTTCAGAATGATCACTGAAAGTTTCTATTCGAAAGCTGATTTAGAACAATGGATTCTGTCAGATATATTGAGAAGTGATTATTCCGAGCTAATGAAAAAAATTTGGATACCATTAGTTGAGAAGAATTTCAGTTTTGTGATAAGATCAAAAGAAAACAATAAAATTCTAAGTGTTGCACTTAATTTCGATGCCTTAGATGAACCAGAAGTAGTAATTGAATCAAAGTTAACAGTGATTTTTGAATTTTTGGAATATTTAGAAGGACCAATTAGAGAAACAAGATTGCCAAAAGGTCTCGGAAAAATATTTCATAGTTTTATGATGGCAACAGATCAAAATGTTAGTGCTGCGGAAAATGTATTGTTAATGAAAGAAATGGAACATCAATGTCTAATTGTAGCGAGGCGAAAAGGTTTTGCAGGAATTTTTACCACCAATACTAGTCCTCTAACGCAGGTAAAACAAAATGTTTTTAATTTCTTTAAATTATAAAATTCATTGTTAGGAAAATTTATTTCCTTTAGTTTAATTAAAAAAATATATTCAATTATTTAAATATAATTTAATTAAGATAAAGTTTTCGTAAAAAAAAAGGTTTTCTTAAATATAAGTAAAAAAGACGCTTACCTTATTAATTAGCAGTTGAGTAGTTGAGTAGTTACATTAATTCACGATTTTCAAATTTCATTTATTGTCACATTTTGCTATATTCACACCTGAAACAAATAATTAAATAAGTTATGAAAATAATTTACGAATTATAAGAAATTAGTAGATAAATAGAAATAAATAAATTAATTAAAATTTTGATATTTCAGCAACTTGGTACCGATATTTATAATTATGATGTACTTTTGGACTATCAAGTTAATCAATATGTGGCACCAGATAAAAGCAAGCCTTTCGGAAAAGCTCCAGACGAACAACGTGCAGTTTGCTCTTGGAAAGCCATTTAAGGCAAATAATTTATGAAACAAACTAGTTATTATATTTTAAATATCAATATTTTTTTTAAAAATATAAAACTGAGAAAATTTAAATTATTTAACATCAAAACTAAAATTGATTATAAAGAAAACATTTCTCTGAACTCAACAAGGACTATATGAAATCTTTGAATTTCTGCGATATTTTAGGATTAAATTTACGCTCACTGTAAATATTTCGTGTAAATAATTATAATATAAAAATCTACCATTTTTTTAAAATTGTTAATAACAGTAGAGCCATTTTAATAATTTTTCATATTTTCATTTGGATTGTCAAAAATAATACATTTATGATTCAAATTCATTATTCATTTAAAAATATTCTTTTAGATTAAGAAATAAATCATTTTTGTGATAGAAGTTAGTAATTAGTTGAAAAAAATAGAAATAAGATAAATATGACCGAAATTAAAGAAACTTTTTAAAAGTTTGAAAAAATTGATTTCTATAATTTATATATAAAGCACAAATTTTGCTCATTACTAAATATAATGAATATAATATATATATAAAAGTTACTCAAATACAAAAAATAAATTATTCATAATATGGAAAATTGTAATTTCATTTACCATTTGAATTAAAAAGTATAGAATATACATATTATTATAAGATAAATATATAATGAAATACATTGTAACATTGTATTATAATAATGTAGCATAAAACAAAAATAAAAAAAGAATCTTTCTTTTATTCAAAAGGAATTGAGAAGGCAGTGACTTGATATATTTGAGGCACTATAAAAACTTTAAAAACAAGGGTCAAAAGTTCATGTGTAATGAAACCACCTCCATGCATCAGATAGTATGAAGCTTTAAAAAAATTCTTTTGTTTCAAAACGGATTACTACTTCATTTCGTATGAATGAGATTTCCAAATATTTCAAGCATTCAATTAAAATTTAAGAACGAAAGACTTAAACCAGTCAGTAGTTAAACTTCACGCGGGTTAATCGTAGGAATCGTCGATTATAAAATTTTTAAGTGATTAAAAAATATAACAAATTTGTTTTACTAAATTAAAATGAATTTAAAGGACACATTTAATTATTATTATTACGAGCAAGCAGGTAAGTTGATTTTAAAAAAATATATTTAACCAAAATAGAAAATAAATAATAAATCTGTTTAATGAAAAAAATCAAATTTTTCCAAATTTGAATTTATATCCTCAAAAAAATAATTTTCTTTATTCTTATAAATTGTTAAAAAGTAATTTTATCTGCATATAAAAATATCTAGCTGAATAATCGTAATGTAAAAAAAAAAAAATGTGTAATAGTGCAATTTAATATCAAAGAAACACAGGGACGGAATAATACATTTTTCAAATTCTTTATGATGTCATATTAAGGAAAAAAAAACATCAACTATTTTTAATTTCATATTTTCCAATCTAGATAAAAATAACGGATCTATTATCGAGTTAATTAAAGTTCTTCGATTACCGTAAACTATCTACGTCAGCTATTATTTTTAAAATAAAGATAAAATGATTTAAATGTATATATATATAAATTTTTTTATTTTTAATTCTCAACTTTTTGACGCAAATTAATTATGAAATATTCATTTTCTTTTTATATGTGTAATATTGATAAATTATATTTATGCAATGAATTTATTTTAGATCCAAGAGTAACAAATTGGATTTTAATGGGTAGTCTATGGCCTATCTCATTAATATTATTCGGTTATATAATATTTGTATTGCATTTGGGACCGCGTATTATGAAAAATAAAGCAGCTTATGAATGTAACACATTCATCAGATTCTACAATATATTCCAAATTATAGTAAATGCCTACATAATAAGAGAAATTCTGGCCGTGCATCCCGATGCAACTGCTTTGCGTTGTGATACAGGAGATTATTCTATGAATCCCGATGCTGTTAGGGTAAGTTTATTTTGCGCCAAAAAAAAAATCCTGTAAATTTTATTAATTTTAAGCAACATTTTTAAAAAAGAATTCAATTTACAAAAATTTATTTTTGTCAACAAATGTGATTTAATAATATTATTGTCGATTAAATTTAATTACGTAAAAAAAATTTTTCAGCTGGCCAGGGCATGTCATTTAGTAACTTTGTTGAAAGTTATTGACCTAACTGAAACAGTCGTTTTCGTACTTCGAAAAAAAAATAATCAGGTTTCATTTTTACACTTGTATCATCACATCTCAACAGTATTAATTGCATTGATCTCTACACGATATATTGCTTCGGGAATGGCTGTTTTTTATCCAGCATTAAATTGTTCAATTCATGTAATAATGTACACGTATTATCTTCTCAGTAATATTGAAGGCGTTAAGGAAATAATTTTTCCATTTAAACGCTACATAACAATTGCACAAATGGTGAGTTGCAATTTTAAAAATATATAAATATTTTATTTAAAATGTTAAAATTATCATATTAATAAAAATCTATATTTATTATTTCAGATTCAATTTGTTCTTTTAATTTTCCATGCATTGGTATCTTTACAACCATCGTGCAAAGTTCCGAAATTTCCCGGAATAATAATTATTCCAAATGTTCTTTTTAATTTTAGATTATTTTATAATTTTTATAAAAGAGAGTACTTGAGTCACACAAAAAAGTCAGAATAAATATTAAAGATATTGTAAAACTTAATTTAAAAGTAAATGTAGAACATACTTTTTATATAGAAAATAAATCAATTTTATACAAAAAAAATGACTCGATTATTATGAAATTAGGATTCTATTGTTTTTTTTTTTACTTTACTGAGAATTAATTAATATTTTATTCATCAGAGTCAATGTACTATTTTATCGATATTTGAACTTTTTCCGGATCCGCTTGAATAAAATTTTATTAGGTACAAGGCATAACTTAATGTTATAAACATATTTTCATTTTAAAGGTTAAATAGAAGCAACAACTAAAATAATTAACACTGAATTGACTTCCAAAAACGTTAATGTTACGAAAAATAAGAATTTCGTTACTGTTTCACTGCTGTTATTATTATAATTAATAGAAAAAAATTCAGATTTAACTAGAATATTTACTCATAAAAAATATAATTATTTTATTCTCGAGATAAAATACGAGTGACCTAAGTAACGATTTCTCATTCGGATATATTTACTTGAAACTACTCGCGACAACAATATTATATTGCAAAGATTTTGTTGCATTCTAATGAAAATTATTGTTTTTTTTTCTATTGAAAATATTTTTCTTGTATTTGATAAATTTTGCTGAAATAAAACTTTTTTATAAAGAATATCTCAATATTTTTAACAAATTTTTCATAAAAGAATAAAAATAAAAACAACAATTAAAACAATTATCAACAATGGTTCATGGAAATGCCATCTTTTGAGATTTTTGCCAAAAATATTGAGGTTATGTTAAAAGAAAGATGACATTTCCATGATTATTACATTAAATAATTAAGAAATTTTAAATTATACCTTCAAATGTATTTCTTGTAATAAAAATTATTGATAATTCATTTGATTTTTATGACGAAATGATAAACGACTTGCTCGTCTTAACTCATGATTTCTATTGAGCCCAAATTAACTTCAAAATATTCACGATTAAAATACTTCGACTTATAAATCACTACTATTAAGTAAGAAAAATTATGTTTGACATGAAATATAATAGAACTTTTTAGTAAAACTAGGAAAAACAGAAGAAAAATTTGGAACGATGGTGAAAAAACACGATGCACAAAAATTTTTCCTTTCTGGAATGCGCTGAGGCTGCGCAGTACGTAGTACGCAACTATTTGGCGCCAAATGTAACCGAGAAAATATATTCAATTGCGCATGCGTGAAATAAAGAATTCTGTCGAACGACCTCTATTTTAAAAAGGCGCTTTAATTTGAAATTTATTTTTGAAAATAACTTTATTAATTATTTAATAATTACAATTAACAATAAAATAATTAATTTTTATGAATGATTTATTATAAATAAAAATTTATGTATACTTACAATTGTTTAAAAAATTAACCTGTTAGTTAATAAAGTAAAATATAAATGTATAAATAATAACAAAATAATGTATTTTTTTATATTTCATTTTATTTATTTCTATTAAAGAATTTATAAAAAAAATAATCAAAACACTAATAAAATTATGAAAATACTTAAAATAGATAAATATTAAAGAATAAAGGGTTCTATGAATAATATTTTATACGAAAATTTGTAAAAAATATTTATTTACATATTTAGTACTGTACATTATATAGAATAAATTATTTAAAATTATAAAAAAAAAATTATGATTTTTCTCATACTTTAAAAAGAAAATTATAAAATTGTTTATAAAGATTTGAAATTTTAACAAGAATTAATCAATAAATAAAGATTTTTTATTAAATTAAAAACTTTTTCATCAGGAACAATTTGTAAAAATACTTACTGTACAATTACAAAATTTTCAGCAATGGCTAAATTAATAAGAAAATTTTCTACTGCTGGTGCTAAATTTTTTTCTTTGATAATTCGAGCACTTATTGATTTTTTCTTTTCATTTGACTCAGATTTTGCGATCGACGTCAGTTGAGTGAGAAGATCTCCCGTTTTATCTGCGATTTCAGCTATTATTTGAGCTTCAGTATATGTTTGATTTTCACTAAGTTGCACCAAAAAAAGTGCAATTTCTTTGTGAGTTTTGGTCATTGTCAAACTTTCTGAAAAATTAGTTTTCTTTTTAATTATTAATTATAAATTAATTTAACAAAAAATTTTAATAATTTAATAAAAGTACTATTAATTATTATTTTTAAAGAATTGAATTAAAAATTTAATTTATCATTTTTTCTTTACCTTTAGCATGATTGGCAACTGTAATTTCTCTCGCTGGTAGATTTACAAGCAAATCATACAATTCTATTCTTAAGGAAATTGAACTATCTGTGCATCCCATTAGATAATACTGATGGCTCTATAAAACAAAAGTTTTGCATGTATATTATATTGATCATTTATATTTTTTTTAAGATTCTACTAACTTACTTTTAATTCTATAAGTTCATCTTCAACTAAATCAACCCAGGGTCGAAGATATCGTGAAACTTGATGATGTGTCATTAAAGCAGGAAACGTTTGTATCCATTTTAATAACTGTTCAACACTATGATGATAAACTATAATTTTCTTTTTAAGTAAAAGTGCAGTATAAATGAGTATTGTCTCAAGTTCAAATGTCTTTATCAATTCTCTTACGTTGGTATTTAATTTAGAAAAATTTGTATTAAATTCATCAGAAATAAAACTACCATTCTCTGAGAAGTTACATGAACCTTTTGTATAAACGAGTATATAAATTTTAAAAACTTCAACAGGACTTCCTGTTTTACAGTAAGTTTTACTTAAAACGCGACACAGAATTTCATACTTTTGTGGATGAAATTCTCTACTAAAAATCACGGTGGCTACTTGTTTTACCTACGAAAACAAGAAGCAATTTACATAAAATTTCCTATATTTATGTATAACTATATTCAATTAATTAAACATCAGAATGTAAAAAATATATATACATAAATATCTATATGAATTAAAAATATAAAATAAAATTTTTTATTTTAAATTCAGATTATTAGAAATTAAAATTATTAACTGACCTTAGGTAGAGTATTAGACTCAAGTATATCACTACAATAAATGTAAAACCATTCATTTTGATGCCTTGAAAATACAAAAGACAGTCCATTACTTTTTTCTGATTGTAAATTATACTTTCTGGTAACAATTGTTTTTTGAGACTCGGTAACTGCTGGATATCCCCAAGTAAACAAATTAGCGCCATTGCAGTCTTTTTCTGTAAAAATAAGAAAATTAAACATTGTATTTTTTTGTTGTAAAAACAATTAAAAAAAAAACTATTATATCAAACATCTTTGACGTTTAATTTATGTAAAACACTTATATGATTTGAAAACACACAATTTTTTATAATTTAGATCCACTATTTTTAAAATCAAATTGTTTAAATATTTAAACAAAATTATCTTACATTTTTACATGAAATATCAATATTCTTATTAAATTGTTATATTCGAGGAAAATATTTTGAGGTTATAACTTATCAAGTAGGTTATATTTCACATTTAATATTAAATTAAAATTATTAATATTTTACTGACTAATTCTGATTTAAATATAAATAATCACAGAACTATTTAAATATAACATACAAATTTACAATGTAAACAAAAGACAATTAAAAAAATCAAAACAAATTGTAATATTTGTTGTATATACCATGTTTAAATAAAGTGCTGATTCTTACCACTTAACTTTTAGTATAATTAAAAGGTCGTTTTACATTATTGTTAACACTAAATTAATATTACTATATAATGTTTAAACATTTATTATTATTAAAATTTACCTAATAATGCACAAGATACCAACTCAGTGAGAGGCGCCATTTTGAAATAAATTTGATCACGTGACCAATCATCACCGTTGGCGGCGTTAGCTTCGGGCATTAAAGTCTAATTCACAAACCTTTAATTGGACAAATTATTTATATGTAGAAATTAAAATTTTAAATTTACAGAAATTAATAAAAGTTAGAAAATTGTTTAACAAGTTTGTTACGTTTAATTTCATTTTTAAAATAAGAAAGTATAACAATTTATAAGATAATTTAGAAATTAATTTATCTTTCAACATGAGTTGGACATGTTTGTACATGACGTATGAATTGAGCATTAGATTAATTTCAAGGTGAGAAAGACAATTAATTAATTTTAATTTGTTATAAGTATTAATTTTAATAATTTACACATTTCTATAAATCTTTAAAATATTTATTGTTAATTATTATTATCATTTTTTTATAAACTAAATACTGATTTGACTCACATTTACGGGAAGCCATTTTTATTTAGTGTCTGCCTTTCATCCGGTACACGCGGTATACTTATACTGTCAGGAAATTAATAAATTCTGATTTTATAGTGCATTTTTTGGGCTTCCTAGTGTTGTTAATGCTAAAAAAGTGATTCAACTATTTCGACGCAATGGCAAGATATGGGCAAAGACCCGAAAACGCCCTGAAAAGGGCAAATGGTAAGTCCAACCTTTACACCACATGACAATAATACAACATGGCTGATAAATCTTTTATACAAGTATAGTCCGACCCATTTACCCTTCAAGACTTGTTCAATATTTTCGTATTTTTCTTCTAAATATATTATTTTTCCTTCATTAAATAAACAAAGAGACTTTTTTTAACCTAGCTTATTGAGAAAATTGTTTCATTTTAATTAGATTTAACTCATAAGTTTGGCATTTGCTCAGGGTAAACGTTATCAAACATATGCCGCTTACATCAGTCATTATTTCTAGAATAAATTTTCCAAAAGCCAAACAATAAATTAAAGAAATACAATAATGAAAGATAAAAATTGTATATTTTTTGCACCTGCATTATTGGATAATTATTCACAGTGTTTCGAATAATTTTTTTATTTGTTCTGATTTTATTGATATGCTTTGAAAGTAAAAATGGTTAAATGAATTCATATAAAAAGCAAATAAAAGCGTAGAGTGAGTTTCAAAAATAATATAAATTAACAATGAATTTTCGTACTTATTTTTAATTGGAATTTTTTTCTTGTATATCATTCACTGCATTGAAAGAAAATTATTTTATTCAGATAATCTATTATTTGACTGTTATCAAATAAATATTTATTTGAACCACATATTTTTGTTAATCAAATAATATTTAATTTATTCACTTTTTTTGATTTAGATAAATATTTATAAGTATAAATAAGTAAGCATAATTTATTAGGTTTTCTAGTCTCAATTTTTAGAGAAAATCATATTGAAGTATTTAATAAAATTTTAAACATTTTTTACTCTGAAAGATTTAAAAAAATAATTTGATTGTAATTTTATTCGAATTTCTTATATTAAATTGAGTATTAAATAACTGTACCTTTTCATTTTTTCAGAATTCATCGAAGTCGGTAAACCGGCAAGAGCTTTAGATACTCTTCAAGAAGTCTTCCGCAATAAAAAATGGACATACAGCTGGTCCGAATCGGTTCTCGAACCGATTATGTTCAAATATCTAGATCTTTGTGTGGAATTGAAAAAGTCTCACATTGCCAAGGAGGGTCTATTTCAATATCGAAACATGTTTCAATCGGTCAATGTTGGAAGTTTAGAAAATGTGATTCGTGGTTATCTCCGAATGGCTGAAGAGAAAACGGATGCTGCAAGAAAACAAAGTCAACAAGCCGTTATTGATATTGATGATCTCGACAATCTCGCTACACCCGAAAGCATATTACTCTCGGCAGTGAGCGGTGAAGATGCACAAGATCGAAGTGATCGCACCATTTTAACACCATGGGTGAAATTTCTCTGGGAATCCTACTGCCAATGTTTAGAATTATTGAGAACAAATGCTCATGTTGAGACACTCTACCACGATATTGCACGTATGGCTTTTCAATTTTGTCTCGAGTACAACCGTAAGACTGAATTCCGTAAACTTTGTGAGAAATTGCGTAAACATTTGGAGGACATTTGCAAACTCCCACAACTTGTATCGAATGTGTCAATAAATAAGGCTGAGACACAACAACTTAATCTCGAGACACGTTTGAATCAACTCGATTCAGCAATTCAAATGGAACTTTGGCAAGAAGCATACAAAGCCATTGAAGATATTCACGGTCTGATGAATCTGTCAAAAAAGATGCCAGTCCCAAAAACAATGGCTAATTATTATCAAAAACTTGCCATGGTCTTTTGGAAAGCCGGTAATTATTTGTTCCATGCAGCAGCTTTATTGAAACTTTTACAATTGTCACGTGACATGAAGAAGAATATGTCCTCGGAGGAACAGCAACGTCTTGCAAATCGTGTTTTATTAGCCGCACTCTCCATTCCATTACCTTCTGCTCATCCTGAATTCGATCGTTTCATCGAGACTGACAAGAGTCCACAGGAGAAAGCTCAAAAACTTGCAGTTCTCTTGGGTCTCAATCAACCACCAACGCGTGTATCTCTTCTAAAAGATATCGTTCGTTTGAATGTTATCAATCTTGTATCGCCACAATTACAAAACTTACATTCTTGGTTGGAAGTTGAATTTCATCCCCTCGAGCTTTGCGGTCGTGTTGACACAGTTATTCAAACTCTTCAGGCCGATGAGACTAATCCTCTCGCTCAATATGTTCCTGCACTTCAAGACGTGACTCTCGTTCGTCTTGTGCATCAGGTCTCACAAGTTTATCAAACGATTCAACTTTCTCGTTTATTGGAACTTGCCAAATTCACCACCGATTTTCATTTGGAGCGTCTTCTTGTTGATTGTGTACGTTACAATGACATGCAAATTAGAATTGATCATCGAATGACGTGCATTCACTTTGGCGTTGATTTGTCCGAGGCACAAAGGGAAGATCATCCAGATGGTCCTATTCTTCAGGCAATGCCATCGGAACAAATTCGTTGTCAATTAGTGAATATGGCCAAGGTATTGCATCGTTCCATCAATGTTATTAATCCCAATAAGAAGAAACAGGAGCGCGAGAAATTGCGCAACGCCATGGTGAATCATTATCATGAAACCAAAATGAAGGAACACCAGAGAATTTTGGGAAGACACAAGATTATTGAAGAACGAAAAGAATATATCGAACATATTAATACAGTTCGTGAGGAAGAGGAATTAAGACGTCAGGAGGAGGCGCAACGAGCATTGATGCTCGCCGAACAAAAACGTCTCGAGCAGGAGCGTGAAGAGAGAGAACGAAAACGTCATCAAAGTGAAATTCAACAAATTAAGGATCGTCATCTAAAGGAGAAAATGCAACAAATTTCTCAAACAAGTCATGGGCAAAAGGTGCTTAAGAAACTTGATGAAGATGAAATAAAGAAATTGGACGCCGAACAAATAGCAGCGCGCGAAGCCGAAGAATTGCAAAAGGAACGAAGGGAAATGCAACAAAAATTGAAATCTCAAGAGAAGAAGGTGGATTATTTGGAGCGTGCCAAACGAATTGAGGAAATTCCACTTTTGAAGAAAGCCATGGAGGATAAATTGGAATTGGCGAAACAAAGATGGGAACAACAGGAAGAGGAGAGAATTCAAATTGCCATTGAGGAACGTCAACAGGCTGTCGCTACAAAAGAACGTATGGCACGAATGAAAGAAGATCACGATATATTCTTGGAGAAAATTCTCGCCGAACGAAGAAGTATTTATCATGAGAAATTGCGTGAATTTGAGAAGAAATTAAATGAAGCTCGCGCTAGAAAGCTATTGGAACGAAAGGTACAAAGAAAGGCGGAAAGAAAAGTGCAATGGGAGAAAGAAAGAGCGGAAGCTGCGGAACGTAAACGTCAAGAGGAATTGAGAATCAGAGAGGAGGAAGAGAGGAAACGATTAGAGGAAGAACGTGCACAGAGAGAGGAAGAGGAGAGGAAACAACGTGAAGAGAGAGAAGCTATTGAAGCCGAGAGATTGGCAAAATTAAATCAAATGGCAGAAATCACCAAGGCTAAAAATGAAGAGATTGAACGAAAATTGGAGGAACAAAAACAAAAGGAAAGGGAGAATATGAGGGAGAAACCAGATCCATGGAGAAGTGGTGGTGGTAGGTTTGAAAGAAGCGATAGAAATGAAAGAAGTGACAGAAATGATAAATACGAGAGAAGTGACACCAAATCAAGTAATTATATTTTTTTAATTTGATGAAATTATTGTTCATTTTATTCTTATTTATTTAAATTAAATCACTTTTTTTTACAGCGGAATCCTGGCGAAGAGCTGTTCCAAAAGAAAATGATGATGATGGGTAAGTTAGGAAATTTGATTAACATTAAAGAATAATTTAATTTTCATTGTAATTATTTTAATTAAATAATATTGCAGTCCTAAACGGGATACTGTTCGGGACGATGATGACAGAAGGAAAAAGGAAATATCACGTGATGACAGTGATAAACGCTTCCAAAAGAGAGACTTTAGCAAATTGGTAAATTAATAATTTTTCATTTATTATCAATTCTGATATTGTTTTAATATAAGTTGGATTGAAAAAGGTAATTAAAATCACTTAATTGTTAAATTATAAAATTATTACAGTCTAGCGGCGGTGGCGGAGGATCATGGCGCGATATGCCGCCACGTGGCGGAAGAACAGATGATCGTGACGATCGTCAAAGAAATACGGATCGTGACAACCGAGATGAACGTCCACGACCTGATCGTCGTCCTTATGAAGAATCATCGCGAGGTGGAAGTGGTGGTGGCGGAAGCAGTTGGAGATCAAAGGCGGCAGAAGCAGCAAAGGACAATCCAAGAGACTCGAAACGGGATGACCGGTAAATATTCTTCCCTGATCTGAGAAATTAATTAAAAGATTCATTATATTTCGCACAAAATCATTGTTGATTAATTTTAAAAATTATTAATTTTTGTTTATTAAATTATTCAATGTTAATTTTTCAGGCAAGATGATTTTGAGCATGTAGATGACAAACAACAAGTTCGTGACGAAAAGAAAGAGAATCGAGCACCGGAGGACGAGGGTGGTTGGTCAAAAGTTCGTCGTCATTAAAAATCTACATCTATGAATTATTGAAAAGTTGATTATTATTGTTTACATGGAAGAACTAAATAGAATTGTTCTCATGTGAAAGTCACAATCAACAGAGTGTTTTCACATTGAATGAACAAAGGATACTTTGAAATTTTCGATACATTTGGTACGTTCTAAGAATTTTTATTTTCTTTTTTTTTACATTTTTACAAAATTTTGATTTTATCGAGAATTTTTTATTTTTTTATGCTTCGAGGCAATAAAAAAAGAAAGAATATTTCACAATAATGTATAATATTAAAAATTTACACAAAAAATTTGATTAATTGACGGGAAAGTAGTATCTTTAACTTCATGGTTATAGATTTCTAGATTTTTCTTTCCCTCATTGAAATTTCACTTAATAGAATTTAAAGGAAACTCGAAAAATCGAAAATTTATATAACAATTTATACAATTTTTTTTATTATACGCCAATGTAAATGTTCGTCAATCAGTCTATCGACGATTTGCGTTTTTTCTGTTGAATTAAGTCCCGAGGGACTTTATGAATTTTTCAGGAGTTATAAAGGCACTGCATGCTACGCACGTAAATCTAGCAAAAATGCAGTCTATAGTTAGAAACTAATTAAACTATCTTCACAAAAAAAAATATAATAAAATAAACTTTGATATTCAAGGGAGCTGGAAACTTTCTTGTCAATAAAGTTCTCTTGTATCTATAAAATTTTAATCTTTTAATACACTTTACCTCTTAGTCCGCGTTTAATCACAATTTATAAATTTTTCTCTTGTGAAAAAACAAATTGTAAATATCAATTAACAAAAATGTGAAGGATTTTTTTGATAATTTACTGATGTTCTCAAGTGTGCAAAACACTTGAATATTTTACATCCATGGACTTTTAATTATATAGCTACATTAATGAATATTGCAATTGTTTTGTAAAAGTTTACAATATTGCGAATTGCAAATGTACGATTCTGTATGTCGTAAAAATTAAAAAAAGTAAATTGAAATTAATACCATAAAGAATTTGGAAAAAAGTTGGAGTCTTTTTAAAGTAGTACACCTGCGGCAAATTTTTGAGAATTAATTGCTTTGAAAATTAATCACCATCAATAAATAAAATTTTTTTTTCTGTTAAAAAATAAAAGTAATCGAAGTTTTTGTTGAACTAAACTAAAAAATTGTGATACGATTTTAATTACTCTTTAATTAATTGCCTTCAAGTATTATAATTATTTTTAATCTTATTTTATTAAATTATTTTCACGTTATTTATGTAAAAAAAAATTTTCTTCATCTTCATAGTACTAATTAATTTTTAAATAATTAATATGGTATAAACAATGCTTCAATTACGTTAATTTATATAAAAACAAATAATTATATCATGAAAACTAAACGTTTGTTTATTAGGTTGGATCATCAATAAAAATTAAATCAAATGAAAACTAATGAAGTTAATAAAAAGAATTTTGTTATGTTTATACTAATATGATGAATAAGTAAATTATTAATTATAATTACTATAATTAGTACCAACGTAAATAATGAATATTATTTAAGTCTTGTAAATCTTACCAATTTTAAGCAATTATTTTTGACAATGATTGCCGCAGGTAAATTATTTTTTTTAAAAAAGAGTAATATTTGAATATAAGATGTTCATTATCGTTATTTTTCTTAAACGACAATGATAAGGCATTAGGTTTTTTTTAATTATATGAGGTATAAAAAGGCATACGAAATAAAAACATAAGGGTACGTATGAAGCTATAAATACTGTATTTGTACGACCTATTAGTCTGTCTTTTAATAAATAAGAATATAAAAAAAAATCTTCCACACATTTTCTATTTACATTAGTTTTATAAACTAAGGAAGAGGCACATTTTTTATTAAAATTTATATTCCGCGACAAACTTAGCGAATTCTTCTATGAAACTGCAGTTAAATAAGCGGTATGATAATTTACTTAACTACTTATTAAACATGTTGATTTTTATTCTTATTTTTTAATTCATTCTCGTATATAGCACTATGCTTGTCTTTTTAAATATAAATAAATTGAATACACGTATAAATTGAATTTTCATTTTTGATGAATTCGTAAAGTTCTTGTGAAAAACTTTTTATCAAAAATATCGAATTAGAGACAATCATTATTTTGTAAAAAAAAACAACGATAGTCAAAGTGGGAAAAAAAAAATTAGTAAAGCATTATGGCGGCTGCAGTCTTTTCTTCTAGAGGAGGAATCGGTTCCAGGCGATCGCTCTTATTTTTTCCAGATCCCCAACCGATCAAAGCAATGCTAATGAGATGAACGACACCGGCAGAGACCACAAACCTGATAAGAAAATTTATTATTTTAATTATTGTCCATAAGCAATTTATGTTTATTTTGTATTTGGTTTCAGGAGGCAAGAAGTATTTTTAAACAATAGTTTTAATTGAAAATTTTCATTTCTTTTTTTTTTTAAATGAACGGTTAAGTTTTAAAAATTGAAAATGAAACTTTTCAGTTTCGAAAGTTTTATCGAATTATTAATTTTTGTTTTGTTAATTCAAGTTTTTGAATATTTTCAGGTTTTATATACTTTTTTTGTATGCAATGAGAAATTGAAAATTTTAGTTTTGAATTTTTCTAATTTTATTTATTTTATTTTTATTTTACTTAATTAATTTTTTTTTAATTCATTTTGTTTAATTCAGAGTTTTTGGATTTTTTTCAGGTTTAATAGGTTCGACTTACCAGAAAGAATAACCGAGTTCTGCAGATCCCTCACTGGTCCATTTTTCATTTATGTTCTCCTTCGGTAATACGTTTTCATATAATTTTGTATAGTATTGTGCCAACCATGTGCCATTACTAGCGGCGCACAACAATACTGAAAATTAGACAAAGGAAAAATAGAATCAGACCAATTTACAAAATAAGTTGAATTCGATTTTTTTCTTCTAATTAATGCTCTCTTCGAATTTTTAATTAATTTTGCTTTCTTATTTTGTTCAATTTTTATTTTCCATTCAATAATTTTTAACATAAATTTTTCAAATAATTAAACTAAAAAAATATTAATTTTAACAATGAGACAATATACATAAAATATTGTATAAGAAAATTAATTAAATTTATTTAATATAAATTATCTACATTTATTGGATAGACGTGTGTGAATCAGTTTTTTTTTAATTAACATCGAGTGTTGATTAGTAAATTTAAATTATTGACATAATAAAAAAAAATTCAATGAATAGAATCTGTTTTAGATAGACGAATGTGATAATTCATCTTTACTTCCTTATTCGCTGTATATAATACCGTGATATACTCACGTAATGATCATCTTAAATCTTAAATATTCAATTTCACGCACTTGATTCCAATTTAATGTTAGGAAATGCACTTCTTTTACGAGCTACTAATTATAACAGTATTTTTTCTATTGAAACTCGAATTCCTTTAATTTAATTTTATTTTCTTTTGATGAAAAAAAAGTTGCAATATCAAAAAAAGGATGTTTATTTTTAAATGAATAGCAGTAGAAAAAATATATAAATTACATAGTTAATATTGTTAATTGTTGACTAATTTACTATTTTATACACAGGACTTGAAGAAATTATTCCCTTTAGGATTTGATTACTTACATGCCAAAATGTTGATAAAGTAAATGCCGGGAACGGAAAATATTTTACTTCTCGGTGTTGTAGCTGTATTTAACACAGCCAAAAGTGCAGCAAGTGCTGAAGCTAATAAAGCTGCACATGTTGTCACTAAAGTTCCAAACCAAAGGCCCCATGACATCACCAGTGGATCTTGTTCAATTAGTTTGGAAACTAAAAAAGAAAATGATAAAAACCTTTATTGATTAATCAATTTTTGAGTTAAATTTTTATAATTTAACTTTTTAAATAACTTTACCAATGATTCTTTTATCCATAAATTATATAATATTTTTAAATTTATTTCTTAATTATAAAATAAATAATAATTAAGTAATTCTAAAAAAATGGTATCATCGATTTTCAATGTTTCATCAAAATGCACCAAATTTATAATAAAGGTAATTAAATTTAAATTTTTTCAAAAAAATAGTAACTATTAGACAATAATAATAATTGTCATAAATATTTATTAATAGTCCATTATTTCTATTTTTGATAATGCGGAAATTTGTTTGAAATTCTGTATTCATTTTTTGAAAATGAAAATTAATTTAAATAATTTTCATTGTTAGTTAATTGAATTTTATAGAGTTTTTTAATAAATGAAGACACTAATTTGAGTAATTTTTTAAAAATATCAATATTATTACAGAGAAGTCACGCTGAAGGAATTATGTACTTGCTGTTTGAATTATGCATACAGCAATACCTCAGGTAGATACAACTCGTGACAGATGACAACAATATCCTCGGCCTTACGTCGAGAACGTGATTCGTACTTATTATGGGAATTCTCCCCCTCAACTCCCCGAAACAGTGTCACACGTATGACCTACCCCAATGAAAGAGATACGCGAGGAAACGATAATAATCCACAAGGTAAATCTGTTTTACGATTTAAGGATCTGTAAAAATCCTTTCAAAAATTGTACAATATCTCAAAATCTCTATTTTATTATTACAATATTATTTTTATTTCTATTATTATTATCATCATTATTTTGATTGTCAAATATAAAAAAATATATGAAATTTAAGAAAGAATTTAAAAATGAAATTCGAGAACCACAAATATTGCAAATTTTCAATTAACTGACTAAATCAATATAGAAAGGAATACTTAGAAGTTTTAATATTAAAAAACAATTTTTTTTTTAAATTAAATTTGTTTTAAACGAAATGAACTGAAATGTTTATTATTTAAAATATGAATAATTCAATAGATACATAAGTGAAATCTCTCGCAAAATATTTCAATTAGATCTATTAATCATTTCTGTTGTAGGTAAATATCTCTTGGTTGTTATGTCATGGAGGACTATTTTATAACACGTGCGAGGTTGTATCTAAACTGGTTTGGAGACGCATGCTTGAACATACTAAAAACTTTCAACAAGTCTACGCAGCGCCGAACTTGTTCCTAACGAGGAGACTAACGAATCCTGGAATGCAGTATCACACAGTACGTATATCATAGTTTCGTAAAGCTCCAATTTAAAAAAATTTTACTCACATTTCTCTATTCTACTCGCAAATCTTTTTTTATTTCCCCTTTTATCCATTCAACACTTATCTTCTTTTAACTATCTACTTTATACTCTTCCACACATCTTGTTATTACTACAGAAAAAAGGATTTTCCCTTTTATTTTATAAAAAAAATTTTTTAAAAATTCAATTTTATTATCATTGCATGAAGTGATAATAATAATAATAATAATAATTGAAGCTTTTAAATTCATAGCAGAGAATAGAAAAATATTCCTTAAAATCATTAGTTAGAGTTTTCAAAGGATAAAATTTTAGAAGACCGATTTTTATTTAAAAAAAATTATTATAAAATTAGATCTGCTGGAAATTCGAATTAATAAATTTTAGGGAATATCCATTCGTTTCAATGTATATTTCAAGAAATATTTAAGAAATTTTTATATTAATCATTATACCGGAGAAATGATGAGTTCTCCATCCATAACCGTAGTTGAGCTCTTTTGTGCCATTCAATAATCCAAAATGAATTTTCCCAGCACTATTTTTGGGTCCGTCCGGTATCCATGGTTTGGCTTCAATCCAATGTTGTGTTACTAATGCTCCACACAATAATCCCCCACTAATTAAAGAGAGGAAGAATGTCGCAAATATTGTACCCCGTCGAAACATGGACGTCATTCTAGGATCAGTTGAAACTGGTTCGGGTTTCGAAAAATTCGCAATTACTGGAAATTAAAAATTTGGTATGTAAATAGAAAATTCTTTTCATCAAATCTCTTTTTAAAAGTAATAAAAAAATATATATTAAAACTTTTCCTCATGTAAGCAATTATAAATGAAAAGAAAAGTTTTCTTTTTAAAATAAATATAAAATTGAACTTGCGCAAATAGCAAGAAGAAAATCGATATTCATCAGCTAATGATAACAGCAAACAATCTCTCTAACTAATTTATAGAGAGATAGTTGGAAATAGGCAAATATCTCCCGGGTGTCTCTCTCTCTCTCGCTCTTGTTACTTTATAAAGGATGTCATATTCAACAAGTTTATAAATATTATAATTTCTCTTGTGGCAATGTTGGAATATTTACCTTGGCCCTGAGATTGTGCAAAGTGCGCCTGATTGAGACTCTTGGAGAATTCACCTTGCTTGACTTTCTGATCGAATTCCGCTGTATTTAACTTCTTGGAGAACTTGACGCGACAATGACTTTTTGCTTTTCTTGGCTTTTGTAAAGGGGATGGTCTTGGTCTTTTGGCAAAAGTATAGGGTATCGTATAGGGTTGAGCCACGTAAAAGTATATAGGTCGATAGTCCTCTTGTAGATGTGGTATGTAACCATTCGTCTGGTAGCCGTTGTAAATGCTCGGTGGACCCTGGCTGCAAGCGTATGAGCTCGGATGATAATAGGTGCCGTAAAGGTTCGCCGTTTTTCGTGAATTCCCTTCCACGTTTTGAGAATAAAGTCTGCCAGTGACGTCCCCTCCTTCTACCACGTTCTTTCCAATTCAAATCACTGAAGCATACTCGACTTCGTGATCGTCCCTGAAAATTAAGAAAAAAAAAAAATAGATAAAATCGAAAAATCATTTCCTTAAAAGCAATTTGATATATTGAAGACATTCGATCTCAACTTTTTTTCCAACTCATCGAGTTGAGATTATATATACCAGCGCCAGAAATTTCGATCTCATTTCAACTCTCTGGGATTTAATTTGACCCCTTGGAATAAAATCCCTTTAATCCTCGATTTCAATTTTTAAAATAAATTCTTACCGTCTGCTGTTTTTTAATCAAAAAATTTGTTTTCAAATTAAGAATATGAATTTCGAGTTAAATGTATAACATTTTAAATACTTTTAACTTTTTTTTTTCCTTTGATTAAATTTCAGAAGAGATTTATTAAAAACTTTTTAATGAAAAAAAAAATAAAGGTATTATAAAATTTAAATATAAAATAAGTTTTAGAAATACTCATTATTTGAATAATGAATATTTTAAAATGTTTTCAAAGATTTGACAATATTTCAAGATATTTGAAAGTACTTTAAAAAATTCATATACTTTAAATGGGACGCATGAATATTTTCTAAAAATTGTTAATTCTAATATATATATATATATTTATCCAAGTTTTATAAAGTGAAAAATTTGTTGTAAATTAGTTGGTTAATTGATTAAATGAAAGTTTTGTTAAATCAGACTTTACATAAAAATTTTACCGAGTAAAATTTGTTAATTAAAATTTCGTTTAATGTAAAATTCTCCTTTGTGATAATTTAGCTTAATTATTAATTTCAGTTTATAAAATTCAGGCAAATAGAAATTTTATCTTTTTAAAATTTCAATCACTGAAAATTCGAAGTAATGAGTTGTAGAGAATATTCATACGTCCCCTTTAAATACATTACAGAATATTTTAGAAGATAAAAAAGAGTTTCTTTCACAAGTATCAGAACCCTCTGAAAAATGTATATAAATTATAAATAATTTGATTAATGAAAAATTATTTAACAAATTAATAGTTAATTAATTAAAAAGCTAAAAATTGATGGTGCTGTTTATCGTTTCCCCCTTTTTAGAATAAAATTGGATCAGTTTGAAAATTTGAAAAAGAAAAGATTAAAAGAAGAATTTTGTTACATGAAAAGGGAGGAAAGTTTCAAGAAAATTTCGAAAGGGGGGGATTTTAAATTGAACATGTCTTGCTTGTTTCTGCGATTCGTCTCGAAACATTTGGTATGTTTCGCTTCACATGGCTAGTTTCTATTTCTCATGGGAGCGACAATCACGTTTTCCCAGAGACCCAGACCTCTCTGCGACTGGAAGCAAGTACTATACGCATATTATACAGTGACACAGCCTAACGGCATTCGCTGGACCTCGTCACCTCGCTCTGGCTTATAGTTAGCTTGCAGCAGCATTCCTGTTTATTCATTTTTTTTAATTCTCATTTTCTCATCCCAACTCACTTGACTCTTATTCTTTCTTCTCCTACTTTGTGAGCTTGCCTACTTGACCCGACTGACTTGATTTTTAGTCACGTGTATATATATATATACACCTCTCTCATACACCTGTGTACTTATAACTTGTATAAAATAGAACTAGGCTTACGTTATATTATCTCGCTATATAAGATGACACTATTTTCAAATGCAAATGAACTTTGTGAAAGTACTTTTGCAAATCGACGATTATTTACGAGAGTCGTTATATTATTTTTATTAATAGATTTTTATTATTAAAAGGTCATAGTTCTCTTTCTCTTTGATAATTTTCTATTTAATTTATTTAAAAATCTTTTTCCCATTAATTTTTTTTACAGTTCTCTTTAATGTGTTTTATTTAATACTGAATATTAATAATAAAATGAATTATTAAAAATATGAATAGTTTCACAGATTTTATTTGCGTAATTTCTTGCTTCACATGTGTGAATATTTTCTATTAACCACAGAAAATATATACCAGTTGAGATATTTAATTTCAATTAGAATTAAATGCAAAGTGTGTATTTAATTTCAGCTTCTCAAAATTCAGGATATGTTTCATGTCGTATATTTCGCATTTTCCATTTCATTGTGGGATATATTGTCAATTTTTTTTTCTTCTTCTTTTTATTTGTTCGTGAAAAAGAAATATGTAAATATTAAAGTTTATGTATTCAACTTTCATTGGTACTTCTGATGCAAAACAATCGGTTTTTTAACCGACTTTTGACGAGATTATAGTCTCATTTTACAAAATACTCCTTACACAAAGTAACTTGAGTTACAAGGCTTATAAATTCCAAACAAAAAAAAGAAAAAAAAAAGAAATAAAAATATCATAAAGCTGATTTATTTGCAGAAAGTAATTAGCAACAGAAGACACAAGATAGATGTGCTCCATTTCTCATCTAGTGAACACATATGGTTGCATTCAGATTTATGAGACAAGTGAAATGCTTCAAATTAAGATATAATCAGCAACACTGTCTCCAAGAAAGTTTTGTCACACTAGATATCCCATAATTTGTCACAGAAAAAGTCGTTTCTTCAAACTATTAGAGCACGCCTTACTCTCAGTCTCATTGAACGTAGTTTCATGTTCCATTTTTGTTTATATGATGTTTATTTTTTTTTTTTCATGGAAATTATTCAATTTCTGTTCAGTGAAAATATTAAATAATTAAAACTTTATTGACACTTATTTGATTTAAAATCTAATTTGTTATTTACGATGAAACATAAAATGTATAAAACGTAGATTAATATTTAAAATCATTATTAGCATTAAAAAAGAAATTAATAACAATTACAATTATTATTATTATTATTATATACAATAAAAAATAATTTAGAATTTTGTATAAAAGTAACGAATATAAAAAAAAAATATTTTTCAATAATCATTTTTTGTGACAAGTTTTGAAATAGATTTTCTTTTGGATAATTTAAATTGTGATTGTTATTAATTAACTTTTTTTTTCATAATCCTAATGATAAATGGATGCCCACGCGAAGCGTTGACAAATTTTATGTACGTTTCACACATGTGGTGTTTCAATGTGAAGAATAAATTATGCTTTTAAACCAAATAAGTCTCATGAAAAAAATTATCAAAATTTAATATTATAAAAAAAATTTTATTTAAAGTTTATCATTAATATTATTAATAAGTTGAATAAATTTATTCCTTGTAATATTTATTTAAATGGAAAAATGATATTCTCCAGTTTTAAATTTGAGGAAAAAAAAATTTCTTTTTTGTTCACGTGTCACGAAATTTTTTATAAATTAACATTAATAATGCTTGAAAAAATAAATTTTCCATTATTATAAATTTTTTTTCGATGAGGGTTTTTTTTATATATATAATAAAACAAATGGATCTGTGGGTGTAAAAAAGCAGATGTAACGTGGGAGGCAATATTTTTTCAACGACATATGCGCATTTGAAAGAACCTGGTCACTTTCGTTTCTAGGAAAATGGATTAGAGAACTGGGGGCCCTTATAAATCATGTAAATTTATACAATATATCAGTTTGCTGAAAGAGCGAAATCTATTTTGTTTTTTATATTTTTTTTTGTTTTTTTTATTTCACTGGTTAAACTATGTATGAAAATGAACCTATTCGGCTATAATAACAGATCATTGCATGCAGCTTCTGAAAACCCTTCATTTAATACCGTTCATTGAACCATTTGATGGAATGTACACACGCACTTTATATTAAAGAAAAGAAAAGACATTAGGTATAGACGATCTAAGTCTGTAATTTTCTCAAATAGCCCTCCAGTTAAATGCGCACTTTAATTTCTTTCTTTCCTTCTTTTTTTCTCTCAACTAAATCACCTCAAAAAAATATACATATATTATACTTAAAGACTGATGTAAAATTTCGAAATACATTTTTTTTTTATACTTTTTTGATACATAATTGATGAATAATTTTTAACATTAATTTGAGAAAGTGATAAATTACCTATATGTGAGTCAAACTTGAGAAAATTTTAATATTTTCACTTTAGTGAATAATGCAAAATGCGAGTAAATTAAATTAATTAATTTAATAATTACTAAATTAATGCTATTAAATTAAATATTTAATTAATAATTAAATTATATATTAAATTATTAGCAATTAATCATTTATTAATTCGGTATAAGTAAATTTTAACGATAAACGAAAAGATATAGTAGTTTCTCGAAAATTCTTGAGTTAATTTACAACTTGATGGAGGATCTGTACATGAAATTTAATTTCCTTGATCTTTGACAGTATTAAATTTCTAATTAAATCTGGTTTGAGTAAAGTTTCAACTTAAAGCGAAGAGTCACTTTATTCAAGTGCAATTTTAATTATTTGTCAGATTTTAACGCCTCTTGTCTCATTAAAATTGCCAGATGCTACTTTAACTCTACCATTCCTTATTTTAATTTTAAATTCTGCATGTGTTTTACAAGGGTTTTGTTTCCTTGCGCTCACGAAGGCAATTAAAATACTTTTTAATAACTAACATAAAAGAGCTTTAATTGTTACCATGAAAAGTAAACTAGTTTTTCACAACAAAAATTGATTAAAGCAATTATTTAAAAAAAAGGAAAGGAAAAAAAATGATGTAAATGTTAAATTATATACGACTTTTTGATTTGATTAAAAAATTAGCCTCCAATTAGTATACATTGGTGATTGAATTTCCAATTATTTGATTCTGTAATTCCCTCTCTTTCAATTATTTCTTTTGTAATTAATTCTATAATTAATGAACCTGTCTAAACAATAAACACTTATTAAGTTAATTATAGTAAATAAATATTTCAATTTTATTTAACTAAAAAATAATTATTGTGATTATTCAAAAATTATTCCTTTTTCAATTTTTTTAAAAATTAGGTATATAAATTTAATTTTAAAGTTCTCATCAGGAAGTTGTTAAAAAATTTTTTTCATTTATATTCATAACTTAAATTCAATACTTGAAAAAGAAGTATATTCGCAGTTTTATATACTAAGTCGGAATGTAGCGAATTATTCCTCCTGTGATTTATACAACTACATAGATACCGGAAGTTGAAGGAAAAGTAGAGAACACGGGGTGAACACTGAAATTAGTATATTTCTGCAATTCTCACGGCTTCCTCTGTTCAACGACGCATGGAAATATGCAGACAGGTGTCGAATATAAAGGGCCTATAAAAATAAAAGTGAACATTTGGCTTCTAACAGCCCAAATGTCCTCTAAAAAATAATCACCAAACGTCTAGCTTATATAATTACAAATTAATGAATTCATTTTTCAAATTTTCCATACCGTTTTTGATTAATGGTTTCTTCTGTATAGTATATCAAATTAAAAATATCAACCGCGGCAATTCTCAAGGAATTTTTAAAATTACTATCAATAATAATTTTTTTTTCCAGAATAAATTGTAAATTAATTTAATTATAAATTTTTTTTATTTCATGATAGTGCAATTTATTTTATATATTACTTGAAGATGACAGAAAATATAAAACGAGCACCGATAAAAAAAAAAAAAGTGATTTCATGATTTAGAAGCAAAAACTCTGGGAATCGAATGCTTGAGAAGAGATCTTCTTTTTTTTTATTTCTGTTAATTTATTTATTTCTTTTTTTTATTTTGATCGCGATGTGGCAAGCCAACAATGTTGGTCTTTGAGCCTGTGAACCGTGAATCAGGAAAAGAAGAAGAAAAAGAAAAAAAAAATACTGCGAGTATATATATATATACCTATATACGTATATATACAAAAAGAAATCTGTTCTGATGCTTTGACCGTCGCAAAACGATCTTTTAAAGACTCCCATAGACTTCATCTCACAGTTGGTTTATGCTTCAAAAGTATCAAACTGCGAGAACATCAGATCAGATTTTCTCTTTCTTGACATGCAAGTTTTACTATGTATGTTGAACAACATTCTTCCACATCGACCTCCGTTCCATGACATTCCTGCGAAAAATTAAACTCAACAAACCTTATACATAAAAGCCGGACTCTCATATATGTCCCGTGATACTTTCCAGTTTAATAAATAATAAATCTCAGACTTAATATTCATATTTTTTATATCATTATGGAAACAACAAACAATGTTTTTATTGTTTCAAAAAATAATTATACCATCTTTGAGAATATATTTATGAATATTATTGGTGATAATTTTATGATTTTTAGACATCAGATAATTTAATGAATACAAAAAAAAATTCTCAATTTGGAGTATTTATAATAATTTCCAGTGAAAATTATTTTTCCATTTTAAAAAATATTATTTTTAGTAATAAATAATAATATTGAAAGGAGGAAACATTTTGATGATTTTTTGTTTCTTCAATATCAGAAACTCTCTCTCTCTCTCTCTCTCCAAAAAGGTTGAATTTAATTTTGTGTCCTTCATTTTTAAGTATACCTATAGATTTTTTTTTCAAATGATTGTTATCAATCGAATGAACGGGAAAAAATCTTTCGAAACTGACATTATAGAAATTTTTTTTAATACAGTACTGAAAAAGCAAAAAAAAAAAAAAATGATTGAAGTAGACCATTCAAGTAAAATCCACATTTTTCACCTCGGTCACTTGACATGAAATCACAATTTATAGAAATGTAGAGAATAAAAAAATATTGCAAAATATTTAAGAAAATTGAATAATAATAATAAAATAATAAAAATTTGAAAACAAAAATTTCAAAATTAAAGAGTTTATATCAAAACTTAATTGATCTCTTGTTCAAAATTACATATTAATTTCTATATCATAAATTATCGTTGTTGTTAACATTTTTTAATTTAATTTTGTTTACAGAAAATCAGTTACTTATTCAATGAATGACTCATGTGGGAAATGAGGCGCATGTAAAACTAGATCTTTTTCTTGAAAAATCTCCCATCGAACGAGGATGATGTGAGAATGAATCTGAATTTTTAACTGAACAACCGGTTCGAATGGGAGGATTGCGGGTTCGTTCGCTTCTGGATTCGCGTGATGCAACTCATTTCTATATACACAGTCGTTTCTTCTCTCAGTATAGGTAGGTATATATCCACAAAAATTTTCTCTTATATATGAACGCGTGACCATTGACTGTTAAAGTGGGTCATAATCGTCATCGTCTTTTGTTTAAAACTTTTGCTCTTCTATGTCTATATAACATAACAAAAGTAAACCATATATATAAACACAATTCCCTTAGAAACCTATATTTAGAAAAATTAAACTTAATAATAATAATAATATCTATGTCATTCTTCACAAGCAAACAATGAAATTAAAATTACATTATAGTCGCTTCTTCCCAGAAATCATCACTTTTCCTGTCGCTATATAATTATGTCATTGTTTATATTTTAGTTTCGCGGTCCGTATCAGCATAAAAACTTATATTAAAGTGCAAGTGCATTTAATTCAGGTCTTTCTGGTTGAACGGGTTTTCTATTTCATACATATGATAAGAATTATTTAAATATTTCTCGTTTCTAAATCACAACATTCTTATTTTAAATTCTTCAGATACTTCTTGTTTTCAAATCTCAAAGTATATATTTCTTGTTTTGAGTTTTTTTTTTTTTTTAATTAAAAATTACGATTGAATTGAATGAAATGCGCGCGTAAAATTATACGTATATTCATTCATTAATCCAAGAATTGTAATTTTTTTACTACATAAAATACTTGAGACATTTAATGATTTTACTCCAATAAATCAGGCAATGTTTACATTTTGTTTGAGCACAAAAATAACGTGTGTAAAAAAATCCAATAAATATTGATTCTAATAGACACATTACTCATATACTTTCAACAAATTCCATTTTATGAGAAAATAATGCGAAACTGCCACAGAAGACCAATATATAGTTCATTCTTCGATCCTAATTTCACGCAAGATTGAATAGCGCTTCGTTTACAAAAAAAAAAAAAAACAGGGTAAAAAAATTTTCTTTCGCAATTTACAACATTTTATCGAGAGAAATATTGAATATTTTAAATACTAATCATGAGAAAGTAAGAGAAAAGTTATAAAAAAAATTTTTTTTCAGATAAAAATAATTTTTTTATTTTATTATTATTGGTATATTGGATGAACCAACGATTTTACGAAGGCCAAACCTCTTCCTTTTTTAGAGCGTATAGCGGAACTTGAATATGAAACTATAAATTTACCTATTTTCATAACAATTTATTAAATTTATTCTCCATTATTTCCCTCTTTAATGTCACTTATTAAATGAAAAGTCTTCATATTGAAGCAACTTTCATAAAAACTTCTGTGTGCAACTCAATTATTAGTTTCAATCTGTTTTTGAAATAAAATCGAATCCATTATAATAAAAGACTCATCCTTGTTATAGAATATCGTGTCTTGAATTATTGCTTTTAACTAATTTTAATTAAGTTTAGTGATTTAATTTCATTATTATAAATTTGATTAATATCATATCATATCGATATTTTAATTTATATCTGTCTATTCTTTAATTTGAATTATAATTTATTAAAATTTTTGCAGATTTATCTAGTGTACTTCAATTCAAATGATTTTATTCCTCTGCTCAATATTTTCCGTAAGTATATATGTATATATAGTCAGTAAAAATAAAAAAAAATATAATAAATAAAAAAATTCATTTTTTAAATATTCTGAATTTCCAGAAACATTTCTTTCGTTTACATTTTTAAAAATGTTAATATTTATTCATTTCTTTAGAACGTTTCAAATCTCCTTCAAAAATAAATGCACAGAAAAATATTTCTCTTCTTGCGTCACAGGTCCAGAATAAATATATCCTATGTATAGTTACATAAAAAAAAAGAAGAAGAAAACTTTCAAGTCCACAAAGTCAATATAATATTGGATCTAAAGAGAATAGTGGATACTTTTTTTTTACCTGCATTGCTTCAGCATCCTTTTCTTTATCTCCGATAACTCTTGGCGTATACCCACTGAAGAATCTGGATCGACTACTTCCGTAGTTTGCACTTTTGTGGACAATCCTTATTTCTGGGACACTATAAACTCTGTTTGAAGTCTTCGAAACGAGCCTCAGATGGTATGTATTTACTTTCTTTTTTCTTTTTCTTTTTTTTTTTTTGCTTTAGAAAACCGGCACAATTCGAAAATTGATGACCTGCTGATTTAAGAGGACACCAGGGAGTTTCTGGAACACTTAAGTTTTATACTATGATCTTTTGCGCAGGTTCGCCAGGTGAGTTGAGGTACACGGAAGGTTTAACAGACACTGAGCGAGTTGAGGCTGGAAATAAGAAGAACGGTTTCACTCCTCGAACTAGACTCACTGGTCGGGTTGCTGATCCTGTGGCTTCACGGTGCTTTGCCTGAAAAACCTTCACCTGCCGAAGACAGGTGCTACAGGTGGCAGCACCAATCGAGAACAAAATAAATATATATACTTCACCTTTGTTTAAAAAATAATAATTTTCAACAATTTTCATTAATTTTCAAAGATGATTTTTAAAAAAGAATTCATTTTCAAGTTAGAGTCTTGAAAGGTACTACAAACAAAAGTTACTGTTGCAAAAATTGGAAAAATTGCAAAAAAAAGTATCTGTTTTATTGATTGACATTTTTTTCAAATATTATAATATTGGGTTTTTTTTTAATCTAATTATGGAAGATTTATTTTTATGATAAAGTTTTATAAGAAACAAATCATGTGTGAAAAATACTTTCCATTCGATGAAATAGCAGAGAATCTTTTTTTTCAAAAAAATAATTTTATAAATAAATATTCATTTGTGTGATATAATATCACTTGAAAAGATTTAGTAAATTTAATTAGAAGAAAAAGCTTGCTGGGTATTAACGTTCATTTGGATTAAAATTTTTTTCGTTGAAAAATAAACTTTCCTTTGTCAGTCGGAATTGGTAGAGAAAAAGAACATATATATTCTTTGAAATCTTTCCAATTTTTATCACAGACAAATTTCATTAAATGACATAATATATAAAGTAGAAAAAGTTTTTAGAAATTAAATAATTTATTTTTTCAGATGAAAAAGAAATAGTCACATCAATTGCAATTGATTTTCTGCAAATATAATTAATTGAACAATAATTCATTGAGTGAATTTACTATTGAAGAATTGAAAGAAGAAATCTTGAAGTAATTGTTAATTAAAAAAGGACTAGAGTTGAATCAGCCGCATTTTCGATATTGATCTTCGTTCCTAAGGGTTCACGGTTCACAATTCTCTCACGCCATAAAAGTAATCCAATGCATATTCCATACAGGAACAACGGAAGCAGTAGAATCCTATAAAAATTAATTAGTTAATAAATTATAATAGTTATACTATATTTGGGACAAAAGTAAAAAAATTTTCATCAAGATATATATAAGGACAAGAAATAAAAAGTGAATTTTTTGAAAAAAAATGAAGAAAAGAAAGAAGAGGAAGAAGAAGAAGATTCAGCAATTAAACTAGAAAAAATGTTGATTAGAAAATCGGTTATTGTATCTGTGCATCCCGATTGAAGGTGAAAAATGTAGATAACGCTTAAAGGAATAATCGAACTGATTATAATCTTGCACTTACCAATACGAGTATCCTAAATAGGCACTAGAAGTGTATTCTCCAGTGATAGTATCGCGAACAGCAATGTTGTACCACGTTACGAAGCTATAATGACAACCATAAATTATTAGGCTGGTTAAATTGAGCCCAATAGCGATGCAAGCTACCAGGTAAATACCCTGCAAGGAATTCCTTTATTACACCACTTACATTATGATTAGCTTTAGACTACCAAGCTATATAGGTATAATTATAATTATTTTTAATTGTATTTAAATCTAATTACACAGCCAGATATTTATTTATGTCAATATGCACTTCGTTCCTCGAATGTCGAGAAAATGAAAATTTATTTCACTGCAGTAACAGTGAATTTTCATTTTCATCGAATTTCACTTTTCATTTCTCGTGTTTTTTTTTTTTTTTTAATTTTATTTCCTTTTACTCCTTTTTCTTTTTATATCATTTTTCTTTTAATAATTGCTTATTTATTCATATATAAAAAGAAATAAATTTTATTAACTCATCTTTTAGTTTTTTATAAAATTTGAAAAAAATAAATAAGTCAAAAATTATAATAACTCACATAAATATTGAAAAGTGTCTCTGCTGGACTTTTAAAACAATTTAAAATTGAAAGAGCACACATTCCTGTCACGACAACTAGCTGTAGAATCATTAGAATAGTTGTACTAAGCCAAGCACCCGCATTTACAAAAACATTAGAATTTCTCGTATCTGCAAGGCATAAGGGTTTTTAATTCAATGATCGATACATGATCAAAATATATTTTTATAAATGTACAACTTTTACAAACAATTCATTTGAGAATTAAAAAACAAAAAACTATTCTTACATTTTCTTTCAAACTCAATGAGATTTTCAGCCGTCATTTTGAAAATATATTAAAGTTATTTGATTGAAATGAATTATTTATACTGACCACTTTCATGATTTCTTTTAGAAACGGAACTCATCAAATTTTTTGCTGATGACAAACATGAAAATTCCGGGTTCTCCCCATTAAAAAGTGATTCCACTTCTTCTTCTCTGGATTTTGAATCTGATCTACAGCTCCAAGCACACGCATTTGATCCCCAAATACATGAAACTAAAAGGTAAACAAGCAATATACATTTTTTTTATTCTTTTTAGATTTTTTCTTAATTTAATACATACAATAATACATACGAAAATAGTGAAATAATAGCAAATAATAATAATAATAATAGCAATAACAATAATAATAATAATCTATTTCCATTAATGGTTTTTCGAATCTAATTAATATTTAAAATCATTTATCATTAATGCCTGGATGTAATTATATATTAATTACGCAAATAATTAATTATTGAAGTGAATATTTTATAATGAGATGAAGCAATTTTATTACTAACTGTAAATATCGTAGAATATTGGAGTGGAAACTGTCTTTCTTATAAGGGTGCCTGTAAATAATCCATGATTGATTTCCGAGTCTTGAATATCTAATGAAGCATTGCTGACAGAAGCCGATCCAGTGATCCACTCATTTGTCCCCAGGGATAAGCAAACAACAACTAGGGCTAAAATGGACAGACCAGCTGAAACTTGAATAAAAATAACTCTCTTCCTTTTTTTCATCATCAAGTTTAGGGAAATTTTCTTTTACTAACAAAATGCCAATAATTTTTTATATAAGTTTAAAATTAGTACGTTTTCCACATATTCAATTTATTTCATTATTGCTTTTTTAAGATTTTTATTATTATTATTATTAATATTCAGTATTATTTTTTGCTATTATGATTATTTATAAAATTTTACAATGAGCACTTGATATAGAAAGTGTTCATTCTTATTAATGAAATCATGAACTAAACTTCAATTTTAATTCCTGGATAGACCTGACGATGATAAAGTTTTTTTATCAGTTTAACAATTATCGGAAAGTTTAATCTGCTTGAAACTCATATATAAAGATACATTTCCTGCTGATAAGATTAATATAGAACTTTTTGAGAAATTTATATATGTGTATCAAATTTTGAATAACGGTAAAAAAATTGAAGTAGATTAAATAAATTATTTATTTTTACAATTTTGATATTCAGAAAGTTTTATCTTATATAATATATATTATTTTCATATTTTATTTATTTATTAACTAAAAGTAGTGATGCTTTCTTTGTGAGAAGGTAAATATTTATTAATATACATAGAATTAGTGAAAATTTGTATAAATGTAAATATTTTATTTGCGTAAACGTAAATAAATGCGAAAACAAATTTTTTTAAAAACATTAAAAAAAGATTTTAGAAAAGATAGAAAAAACTTTATTCAAGATATTTTATAGTTGAAAGAAATTTGAATTTGAATTTACGCGCTTTAAATTGGCGCCATCAGTTCTAAAATTGTTTTCCGTTTTTCCAGCCAGATGGCAGTCTGTATTTGTTTAGCGGAGTTTGTGTGAGAACTGTCAACAGCACGTTGCGGAATCATCAAAAAGTAAGTTTTTATCATTTTCAAATATAAAATTATTATTATATTCAAGTAAAAAATATGAGAATAATTCAAATTATTAATTTAATAAGTTTTTAAATCCACCTATGCAAAATCACGCGCTTTTAAACAATTATAAAATTTTAGAGGTTATAATTTCAATTTCTTATAGAAAATTATAAAAAAATGATTAAAAAACAGTTTTAATCAAACCTTGTACTAGTTATAACTTTAGATTTCTAAATCTACCATTACAAAATTATTGTTTTATGTTAACAACGTGCATTTTCCAATGTCACGTGTTCGCTTTCTTTTAACCTTCAAACTTACAAAAAAAACACGTGAAACAATTGATATCGACAAGTGGATTTCACTGTGTATTTTATAAAAACAGAAAAAACAATTGTTTCAATAATAGAAAAAGTAGTATTATAAACTTGAATAACAATTAAATATATTTTAAGAAGAACATATTAATATTGTCATTAAAATATTTTACTGTAATAATATAAAAGACGAGAATTTTTATTGATTATTTAATAATGTTTTTTAAAAAGTAGAAAACATTTGCATATTTAACATGATTATAAACATATTTAAGAAATGGCTGAAAGTGAGAATAAAAAACCAATTAAAAAAACATATACGGACGCTGAGCGTTTGGAACTTGCTGAAAAATTAGATGCCGAATTAGATGACTATATAAATAGTTTAGAAAAGAAAACATACACCGAAGGGTGGCCAGAAGATCGATGGCAAGAAGAGATGGAAAAACATCCCTTTTTTATGAAAAATAGTCCCAGTCCAGGAGAGAAGCTTTCACCATTAATGGAAGGCTTGCAGCAACTTAAATATAGTACAGATGAAAATACTGCCGAAGGTGTGACTTTAATTGGAGACTTTTTATTGTCTTTACAAACGGATTTTTTTTAATAAGTTCAAATTATCTATTTTTTTTCTTCTTTTATTATTCTTTTAACTCATTTTATTATTTTTATAGAATTAGCGAATAATTACAAAGATGATGGAAATTTTAATTACAAATATAAGAAATATCGATTGGCAATTCTTGCATACACTGAAGGCATTAAAACAAAATGTAAAGACACAGATTTAATGGCTCAACTTTACAATAATAGAGCAGCCGCAAATTTTATGTTACAAAATTATCGGTAAAGTTATAAGAACTTTTTTCATTCTTTATTGTTATATGCAAGGATTAATTCAATATATTTCCATGTATTTAAAACTATATATTTTTAATTTGTATATTTTATTATTTAGATCAAGTTTGAATGACTGTAAACAGGCTTTAAAATTAAAACCACAATATACAAAAGTATTGAACAGAGCTGCACATTGTTATCTTAAAGTAAAAGATTTTACTCAATGTCTTGAATTTTGTGATCAAATATTGAAGGAATCTCCAAACGATAAATCAATTATTGATCTAAAATCACAAGCTATAAAAGATAAGGTAAATAGAAAAGAAAGCAATTTTTATTTGTTTAAATAGATTTCTCTATTTATAAGATAAATTAATATTCTTAGAAACAATGGGAGAGAGATTTGAGAAAAGAGAAACTTAGGGAGAAAAAAATTGAAAAACAGGAAGATAAAGTTCTACAAATTATTGCCAATAGAAATATTAAGTTGAATTCAATGAAGAGTAGAGGTATCGTAAATTTAAAAGATTTAGAACCTCAACTTCCCCAAATTGCTCAGAATGTAGTTCATTTGGATGACAATGAGAAATTAATTTGGCCAGTTATGATTCTTTACCCGGAAGTATTCCAAACTGATTTCATTCAAAATTTCCATGAAGATTCTACGTAAGTTTTATTTCCCAATTTCTTTTAACATTCTTATATCAATGAGTTAAATGTTTGGAATTTTTTTTTTCTAGATTCGAAGAACACCTTCAGGAACTATTTGAAATTTCTCCCCCATGGGATGGAGATAAGAAATATAATGTTAAAAGTGTCAATGTCTATTTTGAAGGACATAATAAAATGAGTATAAACAAAGTTGATATACGTAAAACCTTGTGCGAAATTTTACAAAATGAAAGGTAGATCGATTTAAAGAATTTTTTAATTTTATTTATACATTCCACAAATTTTTAAAAATGGTAATTAATTGGTAATAATAATAAATATTCTTTAAGATTCATCATTCAAGGAGGTACACCATCATTCTTGATATTGCTTGCAAATAGTGAAGCTGAAAAAAAACTTTTATCCAATTATTGAAATTATTTTAAATTTTTCCATTGCAACAATTTTTACCAAAAGCAATGTAACAGTACACATTTCAAAATGATAAATGTGTGTAAATTAATTTTATAGTCAATTGATTTGACAGCAATAAATTTTAAAGTGAAAATTGAAGCTTGAATTTGCGGATAATTAACACGTTTATCGATAAATAATAATATTTGGTAAACATATTTTCGATAAGTACATTATTAGTTATTTGATTAATTTCCAAATATATATGAAATGTAATAATTTCTGTTCAATTGTTTGACCATCCATGAAGAGAGGATATCCTAAAGAAAAACGTGACAAAGAGGAAACCGAGTAATAGTATGGTAAACACCAACAAAGAAATATATTGTAGTGGTGTTACCAGTAACATCAGGGAGTGCACGTTTTGCAAGGGTGAGTTGATTTCAGGGACGTAACTTGGTTTTCAATTTGTGAATTCCCGTCTTTATAGTACATAATTTAAAGAGTTTGAAATTTATTTCAAGATTTCATTGAATAGATTTTATGATTATTATTTGTGTTGAACATTACGGTTTTTTTACTTTACTTACAAATATCTATGATATTTGTTAAATTTACCGTTTGTTGATGTTTAATATTTAGAGTTTACTTGTTCAATTTGACAATTTGCTTTCCACCAGGGACACAACTAAATTTAAACCATAATATTAATTGTAAATAGTTACGAGAAATGTTAACAATTTCAATATTATTGTTATAGAATTTAATTACTTGCATAATGTTTCCCTTACGTGGCTTGCGTTGTACTGTTTCAGGAAACTTAAATTACATAATCGGATTTCATGGGTATGAATTCAAAATAGAGATATAAATACGTCAATAGTTGTGAAACAATTCTATATACGACATATTAAGTATTCGTAAAATATCATTTAGAAGAAAATAATAAGAAATTAAAAATCGTTTAGAAGAAAATATCAAAAATTAACCGAAAATAATCAAGTTCACTTAGAAGAAAATATCAGTGAGTACCACAAAGTAATAAAAATTATTTAAAGAATGTTTCCATACAATTTACAATATTTACAAATACTTTTTTAAAATAATTCTTTTTTTTTTTTGATTTAATCTTATATTAGTGTAATTTTATCAAAGAAAAAGTTGTTTTCAAATAGTTTCAAGTTTTAAAAATACGTGTCCTATATTTCTAAAAATTCAAAAATTCTATCACTTTTTCAAAAAAATAAAAACAAATAGTTTTCAAATATTTTCTATTTTTTTAATATTTTTTAATTCATACATTTTTATTCTTTTTTAACTTTTAATAATATTTATTTAATACGTATTTGTAAATATTTTTTATTATTTTAAAATATTTACTCTATATTTTTGCAATATTTTCCAAAATTTAGAAATAGTTTTAAATATTTCGAAGGATTAAAAACAGTTGTTGATATATTTTTAATTACGTATTTTAAAATGTTTTTAAACATTTGTAATTCTTTTGTAAAAGTTTCAAAAATATTTTATAAATATTTGTTTTTTTTAATATTATTTATTATTTTAAAATATTTACATTGTTTCGAAAATTTTTGAAAATATTTTTTATTATTATTATTTCTATATTTATTATATATTAAATGGAAAAAAAAATTAAATTTCTTTTTCCAAAAACAATTTTAAATACCATAACAATACTAAGATTGTGGATTAATTAACAAATTATGAATGCAAATTACAATTAAAACTTTAATGAAATCCAGTGTGAAGTGGCGCACTTAATTAAAAAAAAAAAAAAGTTTAAACCTGAAGGCGGTAAAATTTACTGAGAAAAACTAACTTTGGATAATAATAATTATCAAAGTTGGAGAAATTTTCAAAATTAGCAAAATTGTTACTCACTGATATAATAGCGAACGTGTTCCACTTTAATTAATTGTTTTAAAATAAAAAAATTTAAATAACAATTGAAAATAGTTAAAGCATTGAAAATAAAGTCGAACAGTGCAAAAAATATGATTCTAATCGGAGTCAATTATCGTTTAAAGGGCAAATCTAACATAAAGTGCCGAGTGCCGTCATTTCTAGATGTATCTTCGATAAAGAAAATTACATTTTCACTATCTCTCAATTTAACGATTGATTAGCTATCGAGAATCTATGAAAACAGGTCGTTTTTCTTCAAATTGCTGTCAAGAATCGTTTTTCCAATCGGAAAATCGCATAAAATCATGATTTTTATGATATAGAGGGTGGCGCTCCTTTTTAATACGACCCTGCCACGAAGTTAGCCGAAGTTGATTCGTGTCTTTTCGCTTGATCTCCTCTCGACTCACCCGCAAGATGGCGATGTACTCCGAAATGAGAGGATCTTCGCCAGTCGCTTCAACGATCTTGTAGAGTGTGAGTGTTGGTTGATCGGAGAAGTAAAACACGCTTTCGCTGCCAACCCGAAAGTACGATAATGGCTGCCGTATTATGTTATAGTTGAGGGCGCATCGACTTGCCCGAAACTTTTTAAGTGCTTATACACAGTACACTGAGTGAGGCATTTAAATCTTTATTTAAGAAGTGTGTTTTAAGACGTGTTTATATTTTTTAATTTAGCCGGTGAGTGCGTGTATATCAAGTGTAGCGGTGTGTCCTATGTGTGCCAGCCATTTTCAAGCGTGCATCGCAGGATCTTCAAACGCCCAGGCCTTTGTTTCATTCAACTCATTTTATGGATTTATTAACCTTTGCCATTTAATCGATGTATCAACATTCATTTTGTGGAGCTTTTAATCGGTGAGTGTTGTTCATGTTTCATTCAAAAATAACAGTGCAAAGTGTCAATGTTTGTTTGGGGGTGGTTCTATGATATGCGGCTCTTGTTTGACAGTTTCACTTTTGTTTTGATTCTCTATTATTACGAGATTGTCATTCATGAATATTGACCTAGATAGGTTAGAATTCAATTCGCTTGTTCATTATATAAACATTGCAAGTTTAGTGATCTAGTTGTAATTAATTAGAATGGGTTTGGTCATAATGTCATTTAAATGACGGATGGATTTGTCAGAAATTATCACTAATATGTGACATGAGGTAGGAAGTAAACTGGTTTTGACAGTTGCGCTTTTAGATATAACGTGTTTCATTAATAAATCCTTTCTCTCTCTCTCTCTCTCTCTCCCTAGAAACTTGATAATTGCAGTAGTTTCTTTCAAGCTCAAGATGAATTATTGTTCGTTAATACAAAGTTTGAAGTAAATAGTTATTTTTGTTTCTAATTTCTGATTACTCCTGTATTATAGTTTATTATTATACTTTTTTGTTTTTTTGCAAAACTTTAGAGGTTAATAAGTAAAACTTTTGCAGTAATAGTAATAATAACTTGAAAGGGACATAACCTTAAAGTTTTGACAACTTTTCACTTAGTAAATCTAAAATTCAAGAATGTTAATCAGATATTTGTAAGAAGTACAATTTCAAAACAGTTTTACTCAAACTTTTCACTAACTATATTATACTCCCTCAACCCTACGACATTAACTCGTCTCTTCAGTAAAGAATAATTTCAAACAAACTTTGCTTCTTTTTTGGAGTTGAAGTTTCTAATCGTCCAAGTTGAGCAAAAAGTAAATTTAGTTAAAAATTAATAGAGTTGGCATAAAAAATAGAAATAGTTTTCTATAAAAAGTAAGTGTCAACTAATTATTGTTATTAATTAATTTGTAATTAATATTGTTTGATGAACAATTTATTAGGTAGTGTTTTTTATGCTAACTTGGGGTAATTTTTGGAATTTTATTTTCTGAATAGCTGAAACCTCAAGGGAGAGAGATTGAATTATTAGATTTGGTGTTAACAAAGGATCTCGATTAGTATGCAAAAGAGAAGAGTGTGTATATGCACCTGCGACGAATGAAATAAAAGGACAAAGAATTAGTAGTTTTGTCAATTGAAGAAAGAGTGGTATTCTCACTATGGTTTTGCAAATAAATTAGTGTGAGACTTAATTAATGAGTGAGCAGACGCACTTTAAATTATGAAATGAATCGATTAATTAAGAGAGTGACTTTTCGAGAGAGAGAGATATATACAACGGCGGCGCAACATTTCTTTGGAGTGCAAAGGCGATGCAATCGGCCCTAACAGTCTGTGAAATTGATTGCTCTCAAGAGTTTGCGACTCTGATCGTTTTCCCTTGCGCTCTCTTCACTGGCTACATATATCAGACTTAATTAACAGCGAAAGTCAGGCCGAAATGTAATCACACTGACCGGCGCGATCTTTCGATAATTGGAGTCAACGCAAAGCGCCATCAGGACGCGTGATATTCGTAAATGGCTGATTGCGCAAACCAAAATTAACGTCGATACTTCACCTTATAGACGATCGATTTATCTCACACATACATACATTTTTCATTGCCAGTGACTTCCGAAAATCGAAAGTTTTATACGCAACATCAGATGTTTTCTGAATATTCTTCTTTTTATCTCTCCTTTTTTTAAATCTGCGTAATATAAGACAACTTTCTGTTGAGGCAATTGATATACGTGTGTACATTATAAAAAAAAAGAAGTTACATACTTTGTTGAAAGATTGAAGGTTCTTTGGGCCAAATTTAATTCTAAAAGTATCTCTTCGTTGATGGAATTGTTGAGAAATTCCAACCAGTGTGTGTATTTGCTAAAAAAAAAAAATAAAGATTCAACATTTTTTTGCAATTAAAACACGTTGCTAATTTCAGCTAAATGAATGTTAAAAGTAAACAGAGTACTCGCGGAAGTTTAAATGAATAAAATAATTTTTCTTTACTTTAAAACCACCTTCAAATATTGACTAAAGAACAAATATAAAAAGTGGCATAATGTGAATAATTATTCCTTAAATTTTATTCACATAATATGTAAATACACTAGAGTTAAATAATATTAATGAAAAATTATTCATTGCAAAGTTTAAACAATTCAATATATCTATATTTGTTTAATATTTTTATTTTGTTCACCCCTTGAATATTTTGCATTTATCATCGTCATCATCATCATCATATATATATACATTTTCTAAAAGCGTAAAAGCTTTTGAAAATGCAAAATTTGTTTTGTTTGTAATTTTTTTGATTCCTTTTTAATGGAGTTTTAATCAAGGTTTTGATGGTAAACATCAAATCTCTCGATATTATTTTCACATCAAACGGGTAACCTAGAGATATGTATATAGGTTTCACGTGAACGAGTTTTCAAACTCGTGGATTCCGATAATCGCGGGATATCCATTATCAGTCGCGAAAGTTGGTTATAGACTAACTCAGCAACTTTTGAAATTGATCGAGTTTTGGTGAATCTATATATATATATATATATGACTTTGGTTGTTTCGTGTCTGTTCCTCTATAAAATAGCTTAAATGAAAACAATTATAAAAGAGCGTACATATTTCTTAGAAAGGTTTCTTTTTTATTCAAAAATTATCTATGTCAATCAGAAAAAAGAATTTGGCAAATAGTCAAAACAAAAGATTTTTTTGGTAATAAAGATTAGTAATAAAATAGAAATTAGAATAGAGTTTATTACTAAAAAAAAATAAAAACGGATGTTTCGAAATTTTTTTTTTAAATAAAAATTTAAGAGATTAAATAAGAAAAAAAAGATAAATAATTAAAAGTAGTGTTACAAATCGCTTGAGAAAAGTATTTACCGTGTAGAGGAATTTAAAAGAAACCAATAGCCTTTTTTTTGATAGACACGATGTTTAAATAGGGTTATAGTGGCATTTAAAAGAAAATATCAAATAATCTATTAACTTGGAGTCAGATAGTGTGAAATTCGGCTGATTAGCTGCCAACGTTTGAGAGGGGTGTTCAGTGATGAGGAAAAGCTTTAGGATTTTATTAAGCCCTTAATCTATGAAAATGTCAGTGGATGGTGCGCTCAACCCTTTCTGAACAGACGGTTCTATTTTTGATGTTTTCATTTATTCAACAGTTGAATTGCTGTAAGTTAAACTATTTCTTACGTCAATCATTTTAAC